GCACAACAAATTCAGCAACATACTTGAAAGAAATATGCATTCTGATCAAATGGAATATGTCCCAGGAAGGAATACAGTGTTCATATGACACTGAAAAGTATTAATATTTAAATGCCATTTGCTTGATTTTTGAACCAAATTGCTGGAGCGATAGCACAGCGGTAGGGCGTTTGCCTTGCACGCAGCCAACATGGCCGACCTGAGTTTGATTCCTCTGCCCCTCTCGGAGAGCCCGGCAAGCTACCGAGAGTATCTCGCCCGCATGGCAGAGCCTGGCAAGCTCCCCGTGACGTGCTCGATATGCCAGACACAGTAACAACAAAGTCTCCAATGGAGACGTTACTGGGCCCGCTCGAGCAAATCGATGAACAACGGGAGGGCCTTTACCTTTACCTTTACCTTTTGAACCAAATTGAAGATGCTCAGGGCTTATTCCCGGCTCTGCACTCAGGAATCACCCCTGGGGGGCGGGGCTTGGGGAACGTATGGGATGCTGGGGATCGAACCCAGGACAGCCTCATTCAGGGGCAAGCACCTTATCCACTGCATACTACCTCTGTGACGCAAATTTCATCTTACAATAGATGTAGAAAAGGCATTCGAAATGAAGGTTTGCGTGCATTATAAAAACATTCAACAAAGAATAAAATCTTCAACTTGGGCCAAGGTAGTGGCTGGCACTTGACTGGCATTTGTGAAGCCCTGGGTTTAAGCCTGGCGCCACATAATCCATCAAAATCCCAAAACAAAAAGACCTTAACATGATAAAGGAATTTAAAAAGACTTTCAGGGACTGCTTGTTTTCTCCCTAGAATAATCAGTGGAAATACAAATCTCAATTCTGATAACTTTTGGTTTTATGTCTGCTGGAAATTCTAAACCAGTGCAACTTGTCAAGAAAAATATATGTTGAAATAAAACACTGTACAATTGCAAATATACCATCCTAAATATAGGAAACTTGAACAATTGACTAAAATCTATTAAAGCTAATAAACGGGTGATTCACACGTAGATTCATTCTATATAGTAGCAATGTACAGCGGGCATTCAGTTAAGATAATTAGAATAAAATAACTTTTAAGAATAACTGTAATCAAAGTAATGTAATACCAAGAGTATTTGCTAAGAAATAGTCCCTTGAATATTGCTGTGAAAGCTAGATGTTTGGATATAAAAGGGGTGCGGTTATATTCCCTACATGAAAACAAAAGATAACTCAAGATGAATCATAGATATGAAAGCTCTCAGGAAAATACCTATTCTCCCCCCCCCCACCCACCCCCATGCCAATGAGGGTTAAGCCAACTTGTCAAGCAAAAAAGGGTCATAATTACACTGCATCCAAATTTAACTGCAAACATAACTATCAGTAAAGTAAAATGACAGCCTAATATTGGGTGAAAAGAGTGGTTAAATTGGCTGAAAAGATTTGTATGTCATGTATCTAATTTAATTAGGATTTTTATCCAGAATATTAAACAGCTCTCCCTATTCAATACTCAAAAGATAACCCATTAAGAAATGGGCAGAAGACCTTATGACATGTTTTCTTAGGGATGCACAAGTGAAGATACTTACTAATTATTAGGGAAATGCAAAACCACAGTGAGCTACTACTTCACACTTCTAGCATAACAGGAGAGACAGGTGTTGGCAAGGAAGTTGATAAATTAGAGCTTTCATGCTTTTTTGCTTGGGAATGTAACGTGGCGCAACCACCTTGTTAAACAGGTTAGCAGTTCCTCCAAATGGTAAATACAGAATTTATGTATCTGTTACCAAAATGAAAAGTGAACTTATGTAAACATATATTGCATTCTACTATTCAGTAATAAAAAGAATGCAACAGCATGGACGAACCCTGAAAACATGTTGAGTAGAAAACCTATGTCGGAAGAGACTGCTTAATGTATAATTACATTTATAATTTCTGGGAATTTAGGCAATGACTGTAGGGGTCCTTTTTGAGGTTAAAAAAAAGTTGTGAGCTTAAAATGGTTAATAGTGGTTACACCACATTAATGATACTTAAAACCATTGTACATTTTAAGCAGATGGACTTTGTGGAGTTTGAATTAAGCTTCAAGATGCTCTTCAGGTTTTTTCCCAAACTTGTCTTAAGTTCTGAAATGACTACAAACATGACACAAAGCGGTTAGCTTTAGAGGTGATTTTTTTTTTGTAGATACTTTTGATTACTTTTATCTAATAGATTCTCTTGCTCTTATCGGTGGGTTTTCTTCAGTTTTCTAGCTTGATTTCTTTTTCTTTCTGTTTTATAACGCATCCATGCTATATAGCTGGCCCAGTGGCTCGTGGAACTGACTTGAGGGCTGGAATGCATGCTGTGCATTTTGGAGCACTAGGTTAAATTCCTGCCACCACATTAATCCCCTGAACACCATTGGCTCTAGTCTGTCTCTTGCTCATCACTCTACCGGCACTCACATAAAAAGGGATCACCCTCACTATTTGCCAACTAATAATGGAATTTGTTTGGAACTGAATGTTCATAGTAAAAAACATTGACTTTTTAGCACAGAGAGATTTTTTTCTTGACTTCTCTTGATTGTTTGACACTTTAATTGCAAAGTCCCATTTCTTGTTAAAATGTTCACACCTAAATTTATAAAAGGGGTATGCTAAAGCCAGGGGTGTAAGTTTTGATAACAGAATATTTACATAGTCTCATTATCTTCCCACTAATTATGAAGAGAAAAATAGTAACTTTGCAGTGGAGAAACATGGTGGAAACTACCTTAACCACGTGGTTCAAGTTAACATTATGAATACTTAACACAAAGTGTTATGATGTTCTTCCTGGTGATACACTGATGGGGAGGACATTGGGTCACTTCTGTGGTATTCATTGCCAAAATGCGTAGCCTGAATCATGAGGAAGCATCAGAGAAGCCCAAATTGAACAACACGTATCACAAAATTGGCTCATAGTTCTCTAAAAGGTCAAGAAACACAAAGGATGATGAATTCTCCAGATTAAAGAAGAATGAAAAGGTATGACAACTAAGTGCTTTGCATATTTAACCTTGGATTTGGAGGAAAAAAAGAAGCATAAATAGACATTGTAAAAATAAGCGCTATTTTTACTTATTTTGGGAAGAGTGAGTGGATTTTTTGAAAAGATGTTACAGGAATCTGGTGGGTAGGAGCCTAGGACAGCCCCTCAATACTAAGAGCACTTCAACAGAACTTAAGAATTAGTCAACTCCAGGTGTTACAGTATGCGTGCTATTGAGAAACTTTGACTTAGGATAAAGTATTGCGTCAGTAATTTACATTTCGTGTTGTAATCCTGGGGCCACACCCAGCGGTGCAAAGGGGACCATGCAGTGCTAGACATTAAACTTGACCATAGGAGCCACATCTCTGGCTCCATTGTTAACTGTGCTATGATTGTATAACAAGATGTCCTTGTTAATTGGAAATAGTCATTGAAGTATTTAGGGATAAGGGGAAGTGTCTCTTACTAGGAAATGGTTTAGGAAAATGTACATATGCACACATTTATGTGGCAATCAATGACTCACATGGGGCAAAAATGCAAAAAAAAAAGGTTGATTGAGTATTAGGGTTGTAAGGGAACTTTCAATAAAAAAGTTAGTTTCAGGTTGCCTCTAAAACCTTGCCAAGTAAACAAAGCGTTGCACACCTCATTAAGCAAGCAGCTGAAGTCCTTGTATATTCAGTTACATTGAGGAATAATGAGGTATAGAGCAAAGAAAATTTATACATACAATTATATTGAAAAGACCTTGTAAGAAGACGTATTATGTCTGTCAAATCTTGTTTCCTGATAAAACTTCTGCAGCTTTTTTATAACCAGACCTTACCTTTGGTCCATGATGGAAACCATTGAAATAGACAGTTTGTTTAGGACTTTGGTAAATGGACATATATTGAAGTAGAAAGCAACAAGAGGTTATCCTCACTATCCAGTAGTAGAATCCTTTTATTTGTATAGGTTTAGTAGGTTATTTGGAGGCTTTGTAACAGTAACCGTTAGTATATCCATTAGTATATCTGATGTATCATTAAATGTCAAGATTTTGTTCAGGGTCCTAAAAAACCCTGTTTTTGAGGACTTTGATCACCTTTGTTATTTTCAAAGGGTCTAACACAATCATAATTCTTAAGCACTAGCACATACATCATAAAGTCCAGTATGTACTATGGAAATACTGTCTAATGTTAATGGAAACTGAATTTGTACTATGGAAATACTGTCTAATGTTAATGGAAACTACCATATTTCTCTTCCTGAGTTGTTGACAGAAGTTATCAGGGCACATATTTCAGCTTTCTTCTCTAAACAATTCAGCTTGACTTTCCAGTTACAGTTTTCTCGTTTAAAACAAAAAACATGTCTTTTTAGAAACTATAGACTTTCAAACATTCTATACTATCAAAGTAAAAATAAGCTTAAGTTTGGTGACAGTCACTAATCTATAGCCATGATACAAGGGTAGGTTTTCTTGAATTTCTTTTGAGACTGTAGATGTGTATAATTTGCTGATGGTGATAGATAACTGCCTGATAGCTTTATTATACATAGAAACATCTTGTTACTCTGTACCTAGGTGAAAATTAGCCATATGATTCCTTATAAGCAAAAAAATTTTCTGCATCAGGACAGTTTTCAATATAGGAGGAAGGAAGTGGAAAAATGTTTTGGTGGTTAATTAAGTTCGCAGATCACTCGGGTTAGTCGTTGGCTGTTTTTTATAAAGCACACATTGCTTTTTAAGAGTAAGTGAGATGTAATTAGGTGAGACGTGATTTTTGATAGCACTTGTAACAAATGAATTTTTTTAATGACAGGAAAGTTTATTTTGTGGGGAAAATTTAAGTGGAAGCTACCAGTAAATTAGCGTTTTAATGATAAAGGATTTAAGGGCCTTTTTCATCATTTTCTTTGTTAAAGTCAGCAGTAATTTGAATATTCATGTTTATAATGCATGCTTTCTTTAAATTTTCAGACCATGAAGTTTATGATCCACAAACTGTGAGGCTGGGCAGTAGATACAGTCATGTTCAAGAAGTCCAAGAACGACTTAACTTCCTTAGGTTTGTTTTAAACAATTAGTGTTTATTGCACAAATAACAGTTAAGAGCTCTATGACTAGGTCTTCATTAGGTGCAATCCCCTTACCACCTTGATTTTCCCCATGTATATCATCTTGAAAGTCACCGGACAAGGGCCACGTGGCCAACCCAGGTTCATTCACCAGCATCCTAAATGGAGTGATACCTGAGCACAGCCATGTACCACCCCACAAAAAAAGATGGGTCCCTACCCTCAGTGTTCACTATTTTATCTTTCAAAATAACAGTTGTAACTTCTCTCAACTGAGGGTACATACTTTAAATTCCTGTCTAGACTTAAGTTCTTTGAAATAGGTTTATTTTTGACGAGCAAGTTTTCATCTTGTGGCATAAGCAGCTGGAGAATCATACTTAATGATAGCAATGGGCACGGAGACAAGGCTGCCAGGCCATCAAGCGCTTAAGATTGGTTTGAGTCCTCTGCTGCCTAGTCCTTGTAAAAGGTGACACAGGCAGCTTGAAGTCATAGTTTAGTAACATTCTTAGGGGGATGAAAAGAACAAGTTTATTTTCTTAAACCAAAGCTAAATGTAGATCAAGACTGGAATTCTCAGTAATATTTAGATTATGAATGATTTATGTACAAAACAGTGATTGTGCAAATTTAAAGCCTTTCAAGATTTTGATGGTGAGCAGTTTCGTGTTTAGATCTAAGCGGATGATAATGTGATAAAGGAAACGATGATTTCCCTTATTGCAGAAAATCATTTGTATATGCTAGAGGAAATTTTATATAAGAGTAAGGATAAAATTTTAACCTAAAAATCTTCAGCAACCAGGTTTTATGAAATTCAACATTTATTTGAAGTGAAGTGTGTGTGTCTTAGAAGTACCCATCTTCCTAGATTCCTTGAATGGTAAAATTGGTGTTTCGCTAACATAATGGCAGGCCCAAATAATACTGTATCTATCCTCAGACCCTTGCAATGAACTACTAGCTCTAAAATCACTAGATAACTAGGAGAACACCTCCTCACCTCCAGCACCACTCTATCAAATCAGTGCCATAGTGATTTTTTGTAATTGATGTGTGTGTCCTTTATATTTCATTTATCTGAGCCTTTTTTGCCATACAAAATTTTAATATCAGGACCATTTCTTACCCATTGTATATTTGCCTTTTTTCTTTTGGGGTCATACCCGGTGATGCACAGGGGTCACTCCTAGCTCTGCACTCAGGAATTATCCCTGGCGGTCCTCGGGACCATATGGGATGCTGGGAATCAAACCCGGTCGGCCATGTGCAAGGCAAACGCCCTACCCGCTGTGCTATCACTCCAGCCCCTGTCTTTTCTATTTAAGCCTTAAAACAATGCAGACAGATGTTATACACAGGTAAAAAAAACTGAGGTTCAAATAGGTTAGTAGCTTGTTGCACAGCCAGTAAATAATGATGTTGCAGCGGTGCTCAGGGGACCATATGGGATTCTGGGAATCAAACCCAGGTTGGCAGCGTGCAAGGCAAACGCGCTACCCGCTGTGCTCTCTCCAGCCCCGGTTGTTTTGTTTTGTTTTTTTAAGATTGGTGAATTTCAAACTTATCTTGGAACCTTGAGGATTCTGAGCACTTTCCTCCAAGATTTGATGGGGTGGGGAGGTGTTCTCCTAGTGATCTAGTGATTTTAGAGCTTGTAGTTCATTGCAAGAGTCTAAGACTATGGTATTATTTGGGCTAAACATCAGTGTTAACATTCAAAATCAAGATACTATCGTTTATAAATGTGGTCTGCATGGTGGTTAGATGAATGCTAAACGGAATTGAAAGCTGCCTAGAGGGAAAGATGAATTTTCCTTTTCTGTTTGATTTGAATGACCAAATTGAGTCACAAAACTAGAAATACCTTAGCATCACCGTTTAATTTACTATTTAATGTGGCCAAATGCTGCAAGATGAGTGACTGTTAGATCTTCAAAAAGTATTGAAAGTTTAGCAGTATTACTTTAAATACGTTATCTGTGAAAGTATAATTGTCGTAAATGGATTGTTTCATACAGATAGATGGTCTTTCGGGATAAAAATGTATGCCTAATTGCTGATTTTTTTTTCCCAAGATTTTTACTGAAGGACGGCCAACTATGGCTATGTGCTCCTCAGGCCAAACAAATATGGAAATGCTTAGCAGAGAATGCAGTTTACCTTTGTGACCGGGAAGCCTGTTTTAAGTGGTATTCAAAGTTAATGGGGGATGAGCCAGATTTGGATCCTGATATTAATAAGGACTTCTTTGAAAGTAATGTTCTTCAGCTTGATCCTTCCCTCTTAACGGAAAATGGAATGAAATGCTTTGAGCGATTCTTCAAAGCTGTAAATTGTCGAGAAGGAAAATTAGTAGCAAAACGGAGAGCATATATGATGGACGATTTGGAATTAATAGGATTAGACTACCTTTGGAGGGTAAGTAAAAATTTGTACGCCTATTTGGGGGTTATAATATTGCCTTTAAGGCTGTGTTGATGCATGTCAACTTTGTCTTTGTCCACTGAGTTTTGTTTTCTTCCTTCATTCCTCCCCACCCCCAAATGATATTCCTTTTGTCCTGATTTAGAAACTGCTACCATTGTGTTTGGATGTAACTAATCATATAGGTCTTTTCTGCCTCTCCACTACTAGAATTGCTCTCCACCCTACCACTTTATGTAGATTTGTTTCTTCCCCTTCAATTTTAAATTTAGATTATTTGTGTAATACTGAAATGGGGAGTGCCCGGAGTAATAGCATTGTGGGCAGAGGGCAGTCTTGTGATTGGTTCCCAGCATCCCTTATGGTCCCGTGAATACCACCAGGAGTACTCCTTAAGTGCAGAGCCAGAAGTAAGCTCTGAGCACTTCCAGATCGATGTGCCCCACCCCACCCCCTCAAAAAAAAAAAACTGAAATAGCGTACCAACAAGTAAACTTGATTTAGAAGGAATTACAACTTCACCAGCATTGTAGTGATTTTCTTTTTAATATCTGTAGTTATAAAATGTCCTCTATTTGGGGCTGGAACAATAGCACAGTGGGTAGGGCCTTGCAGGCAGCCAACCCAGGTTCAATCCTCAGCATCCCATATAATCTCCCAAGCATCGCCAGGAGTAACTCCTAAGCATTGCTGGGTGTGATGGCCCAAAAAGAAAAAAAATAATTTTACATATGTACAGTTCTGAAATTATAACAGTAAGTTTAGGTTACCACAATTTATTGACATCTATCACTAAACATGGCTATGGGTTTTTCCTTATATGAGAATTCTGTTCACAGCAGTTTATACTGATTGGTGGATATGCAGTATTTTTTGGGCAAACTATAGATTAGGATACTTAATGTATTTACTATTGAAAGAGTGTTTTCTTTCCTTTTATCCCCCTCTGATCTGTCTGCCTGTGTTCCACTGCAGACTACCTTCTCAAGTCTTATAGGTGCCTGTGCTTATTTCCTTAAAATCCTAGAGTTTTTCATATAGTAGAATATAGTGTGAGAAACAAGTTAAGGATAAAAATGTGTAGAAATGGGGTGGGTTGTTTATGCCAAACTGTACTTTTGGCAATTTTTACTTCAGACTGTCTGATGTCTCAGAACTTGTTTTAAAGGTGTTGAATTGCAGGGTTAAAAAATACTGGTTGAAAACATTTTTCATCCTTTGAATACTGTGTCTTACAGTTTTAAATTATTTCATTAACAAAATAGTTTTGCATTTAGTTTTCTTTTGATATATTTTTTCACACTTTTGCTAAATTTACATCATAAGCAAAATCTGTGACCTTAAATTATGAGTACTGTATTAAAGAATATGAGGATAAGGTTTGAATTTAAATTCTCGACTAAAAAAAATAAGATAATGACATCTTTTTTAATCTAGGTTGTGATTCAGAGTAATGATGATATTGCCAGCAGAGCTATAGATCTCCTCAAAGAGATATATACAAATCTTGGACCAAGGCTGCAGGTCAATCAGGTAAAGATTAATGTAAATTAACACTTCCATTAATCAGAATTCTGATTAAAGAATTTGTAAGAACTTTTTTCTTTCATTTTGTCCCTTTAACAGTATATTTCTCTTGTATGAAACTATGTAAATGAATATAATTGATGATTTGAGTTCGTATTCATTGTAAGAATGATAAGCCATTTCTAAGTTCATTTTTTTAGTATCTAGGACAAAATTAGGGGCTGGAGCAATAGCACAGCGGGTAGGGCATTTGCCTTTGCATGTGGCCGACCCGGGTTTGATTCAATTCCCAGCATCCCGAGTGATTCCTGAGTGCAAAGTCAGGAGTAACCCCTGAGCATCGCCAGGTGTGACCCAAAACATTTTTTAAAAAAGACAAAATTAAGGGTTTTTAATGCCAATTTAGGCACTCATTTAATGGTTTAGAGCAACCTTTAACTTGATTGCTGTCATCTTCAGTTGGATTATTTTATGTGCAGGTAGGTGCATGTGTAGATATCTTATAGAATTTATGTATAATTTTTATTTTCAAAAGCGACTTGTCAAACTTTGGCCCATTACTTGTAGGTGGTGATCCATGAAGACTTCATTCAGTCTTGCTTTGATCGTTTGAAAGCCTCTTATGACACACTGTGTGTTTTGGATGGTGACAAAGACAGTATTAACTGTGCAAGACAAGAAGCTGTTCGAATGGTTCGAGTATTAACTGTCTTAAGAGAATATATAAATGAATGTGACAGTGATTATCATGAGGAAAGAACAATTCTACCTATGTCAAGGTTCGTTACTTAATTGGTATTTTTCTAGTCTTTTTTTAAAAAGTTATGTACGGGGGAAAGAGGAATTTCCTTTTTGGGGGCTTATTTTATTACCAAATGATATCGGGTTATATATATTATTAAGTAAAGTAAAGTAAAGGCCCTCCCGTTGATCATCGATTTGCTCGAGCGGGCCCAGTAACGTCTCCATTGGAGACTTTGGTGTTACTGTGTCTGGCATATCGAATACGACACGGGTAGCTTGCCAGGCTCTGCCGTGCGGGCGAGATCCTCTCAGTAGCTTGCCGGGCTCTCCGAGAGGGGTGGAGGAATCGAACTCGGGTCGGCCATGTTGGCTGCGTGCAAGGCAGACGCCCTACCCGCTGTGCTATTGCTCCACATATACTAAAATTGGAACGATACAGAGAAGATTAGCATGGACCCTGCGCAAGGATGACACGCAAATTCGTGAAGCGTTCCATATATATTATTAATAATATATTTTACTATATATAATTTCACGGGCTGGGGCGATAGCACAGCGGGTAAGGCATTTGCCTTGCAAGTGGCCAACATGGCCGACCCGAGTTCGATTCCTCCGCCCCTCTCAGAGAGCCCAGCAAGCTACCGAGAGTATCTCACCCGCATGGCAAAGCCTGGCAAGCTCCCCGTGATGTATTCGATATGCCAAACACAGTAACAACAAGTCTCCCGATGGAGATGTTACTGGGCCCGCTCGAGCAAATCAATGAATAACGGGAGGACCGTGACCGTGATATAATTTCACTGTGAAATTACAAAGTTGTTTATGATTGGATCTTAGGCATATAGTGTTTCAACACCGGTCCTTTGACTAGTATTCACTTCCCTTTACCCCACTCCACCCCCAGCTTTCCATTTGTTTCCCACCCACCAGTCTACTTCTATGAGAGGTGCGTGCACGTGCGTGTGTGTCTGTGTCTGTGTGTTTGCAATACAGTATACAGTACTGTTGCTTGTAAGATTTCATATATAACACTTTAACAACTTTTAGCATCACCTCATCCTCCCAGTTTAATACTTCCCATTACCATTTGGTCCATCCCTGTGCAAGGATATTTTGATGCCATTTATTTATTTACACTGTTAAAAATACTGTCATAGGGTCAGAGAGCTGGAACAGGGGTTAAGGCACTTTCTTTGCATGGGCAGACTCTGATTAGATATACCATATATTGTACCCCCAGCAAAGCCAGGTATGGCACAACCCCAAAACAAAGAAGCATAGTAGTTCCCATTGGAAGTCACCCCTGAGTACCACTATGTATGGTCTTTAATTTTTTTTTTTTCAGCAAGCAAAGCTTATTGAATAGTTATTAACATCTCCCTTTAAGTCTCTACAAACATTGTTATTTATGTGCAGTTCATACTGTCATACTTAGGGGGGAAAGAATTGTAATCCAGATACCATGCAAAAGTAAAGTTTTCCCTTGAAATGGCTTTTGATGGCTTGCTATTTATTTCGTGGATACCCTTATTAAAGATGGCTATAGGAGCCGGAGCGATAGTACAGTTGGGTAGGGCGTTTTACTTGCATGCTGCTGACCCGAGTTAGATCCCTGGCACCCCATATGGTCACACAAGCACCACCAGCAGTAATTCCTGAGTGCAGAGCCAGGAGTAACTCCTGAGCATTGCTGGGTCTGGACCCCTCCCCAATAAATAAATATATAATAAACAAATACAAAAATACAAATGGCCACAAATAATGTGAAAAATAAAATAGAAGAATTTTTAGAATGAGTGCCATTGATGCCTTTTTTTTTTTTCCATCCGGCAATGCATAAGGGTTACTCCTGGCTTTGTAACTACTCAGGAACTACTCCTGGTGATACCTATTTTCTTTTTTTTTTATTTTTTTTTTAAAGTTTTTATTAGTGAGACATCATGAGGTACAGTTGTAGACTTACAAATTTTTGTGCTTGGGTTTCAGTTATACAATGATCAAATACCCATCTCTTCACCAGTGCCCATTTCCCACCACCACGGATCCCAGTATCCCTCCCACCCCCCATCCCACCCTGCCTCTGTGGTGATACTTTTTTTTTTTAATTATTATTATTAGTGAAACACCGAAGAAAGAAAAGGCCCTCCTGTTGTTCATCAATTTGCTCGAGCGGGCCCAGTAATGTCTCCATTAGAGATTTTGTTGTTACTGTATTTGGCATATCGAATACATCACGGGTAGCTTGTCATGCTCTGCCGTGTGTGCGAGATACTCTTGGTAGCTTGCCGGGCTCTCCGAGAGGGGCGGAGGGATCGAACTCGGGTCGACCATGTTGGCTGCGTGCAAGGCAAACGCCCTACCGCTGTGCTATCGCTCCAGCCCAATCGAACTCGGCCGACCCGAGTTCGATTCCTCCCCCCACTCGGAGAGCCCGGCAAGCTACCGAGAGTATCTCGCCCGCACGGCAGAGCCTGGCAAGGTCCCCATGACGTATTCGATATGCCAAGCACAGTAACAACAGAGTCTCCAATGGAGACGTTACTGGGCCCGCTCAAGCAAATCGATGATCAACGGGAGGACCTTTACTTACTTACTTTAGTGAAACACCATGAGGTACAGTTGTAGATTTACAATTTTTTGTGCTTGGGTTTCGATTATACAATGATCAAATACCCATTCCTCCGCCAATGCCCATTTTCCACCACCATGGATAATATCCCTCCCACCCCAATCCCTCCCATCCCACCCTGCCTCTGTGGCAGGGCAATCCCTTGTGTTCTCTCTCTCCTTTTGAGTGTTGTGGTCTGCAAAAGAGGGTTTGAGTGGCAAACATGTTCAGTCCATAGTCTACTTTCGACATGAATCTCCCCTCCTGGGAGGATCCTCCAAACATCCTTTATTTGGTGCTCCCTTCTCTATCTGAGCTGCCCTTTCCCCTAGAATGCCCGGCTGGCCTCTAAGCTATGGAGTAATCCTGCTGGTGCTGATCTCAGCTATTCTTGGGTATTAATCTCATATTTTGTTTCTTTATATTTCCCAGATGAATGCAATCTTTCTATGTCTATCCCTCTCTTTCTGACTCATTTCGCTTAGCATGATACTTTCCATGTTGTACCACTTGTATATAAATTTCATGACTTCATCTTTTCTAACAGCTACATAGTACTCCATTGTGTAGATGTACCAAAGTTTCTTTAACCAGTCATCTGTTCTTGGACATTCAGGTTTCTTCCAGTTTCTGGCTATTGTAAAGAGTGCTGCAATGAAAAAACAAGTGCAGATGTCACTTCGACTATACATTTTTGCCTCTCTGGGATATATTCCCAGGAGTGGTATTGCTGGGTCAAATGGGAGCTCAATTTCTAATTTTTTGAGCATCATCCATACTGTTTTCCAGAAGGGCTGAACCAGTGGACATTCCCACCAACAGTGAAGGAGTGTCCCTTTCTTGCCACATCTGCGCCAGCATCGGTTGCTTTTGTTCTTTTGAATGTGGGCCAGTCTCTGAGGTGTGAGATGGTATCTCATTGTGGTTTTGATCTGCATCTCCCTGATGATTAATGATGTAGAGCATTTTCTCATGTGCTTTTTTGCTATTTGGATTTCTTCTTTGAGAAAGTTTCTGTTCATTTCATTGTCCCATTTTTTGATGGGGTTGGATGTTTTCTTCTTGTGGAGTTCAACCAGTATTTTGTATATCCTTGATAGGTGATACCTTTTTTAATGAATTATTTTTGCTTATCCAGAAAATTGTAAAAATTCTTCCTTGAACATGACTTTATTGTCTTCACTGCTAGAACATAGAAATATCTTTTGGGAAATTTAGGGGGAAAATATATCCTAATATTTTTGGTGATAATCTCAAGCTAAAGTTGACCTTCCATGTTCTTAAATACTTTTTTGAATCTAGGTTGTGATTCAGAGTATTAATGATACTGCCATCAGAGCTATTAGTCTCCTCAAAGAGATACATATACAGAGGTTGACCTTTTCATAGTATTAAATAGGTGTATCCTTCTCTTAATATCTTATAATTAGACACGTTGATTTGTGCAACAAAAATGCAGTTATTGTTTTGAATATATTTATAGCTTAAGTAATGACTTTTTTTAAATTCTAAAATCAGTAAGTATCCTTAGCTTTATTTTCCTCATAAGATTAGAAAGCTAACTGAATATTTTTTCCCTTTTTTTTTTCCTTCCCCAGAGCTTTTCGTGGTAAACACCTCTCTTTTCTAGTTAGATTCCCAAACCAGGGCAGACAGGTTGATGACTTGGATGTATGGTCTCATACCAATGATACAATTGGTTCAGTACGAAGATGTATTCTCAATCGTATTAAAGCCAATGTAGCTCATACCAAAATTGAGCTTTTTGTGGGTGGTGAATTGATAGATCCTGCAGATGATAGAAAGTTGATTGGACAATTAAACTTAAAAGACAAATCGGTGAGTATAACTTGAAAATTTTAAGGCAAACCTTAAACTTTTTAAGTAAACATTTTATTCAGTAAAGTTAATTGAGAATCTCTTAGGTGTATAACATTCTGTATGTTATTATTACATAGCATATTACTTGTTTTACTGATCTATTATGTTATTAAGGACTTTGCAACAAGATAGAAGTTAGTAAAACTGTGGTTAATTTCTATTTGTTTCTATAAGTACAGATTTTTGCTTCTGAAACAGTGTCCTATTCTGTGTTGTATATTTTCTTACCTCCAATAATAACAGAGTATATCTTTTTTGTAGCTAATTACAGCCAAACTTACACAAATAAGTTCCAATATGCCTTCAAGCCCTGATAGTTCTTCTGATTCCTCAACTGGATCTCCTGGAAACCATGGTAATCATTACAGTGATGGCCCCAATCCAGAAGTAGAAAGCTGTTTGCCCGGAGTGGTGAGTAAATAAATTTTAAGCTACTGAATTCAAGGCATTGAACTAGATTCTTAGAAGATAAACATATATAGAATAGTTTGGGTTTGGGGTTGGTTGGTTTCCCGTTTTTCCTTACGGAGTTTACAGTTGAATAAGGTAACTTAACAAATGACCTGTATTTCAACAAACAAATGTTTCATTAAAAAATAAGTTGAGACCTTTGAAATCTACCTCCTTTAAACAAACTGACATCTGTCCCCAACTGCTCCTCAGAATGCTACTCGGCCCTGGCGTGGGGAGTGATGGGCAATATAGTAGGGAATATTATGGTGATGTAAGGTTAGTTTATTATACACATTATTGATTATAACTTGAATACATATTTAGAAATATACCACTATGGTTTGTACCGCAGATATTAATCCTTCAAAACGGTCTCTTGGAAAATATGTACAGTCAGATTGTCAATAACATCTTTCATCTAAAGAAACAAACACTTCTCATTTACTCTTACTTACTCTTCTGTGCATCTCCATAAGAATATCATTATTTAAACTTTTTTGTTGAGGCACTGATTATTATAAAGTTGTTCATAGTTGAGTTTCAGGCATGAAGTATTCCAACACCAGTCCCATCACAGGTATCAACTTCTTCCACCATTGTCTCCAGGTTCCTTCCCATCAGCTTGACAGGCACACTTCTGTTATAGTTTGCATCTCATACTTTCAGTTCTATTGGTTTTATAGTTCAGATAAATAGGAATACCACACCTCTGTACTACTGATGTGTCCTCTGCCCTTGCTCCTTGGCCCTGTTAGCTTCCACCTGCTTCTTACTACTTCCAGTTTCTTTCCTACTTCCAGTTTCTTTCCGTCCTTGCCTTCCCAATTCTATAATCTAGGCTACAGTAATCTGCAATTTCAGGAGGACTTGGCTCACTTTAGCAGCATGGGAGCCTTTCATATGTACAGATTCCACCTTATATGTATTAGAGAAATCATTTCTCAGAATATTGAAGGGGATCTGTGGCTCAGAAATCAATGAGGGAACTTGGATATTGTTTTGATCCTGCATTTAGAAAGTTGAGAAAGATGGATTAGAGTATTTCTGTATGATGTCGGCCAAAGCAGAAATTAACAAATGTGTGAGTTTTATTTTTGAGAGAACACATTTACAAGTAAAATTTTGATGAATTTTGTGTTGTAGATAATGTCACAGCATCCCAGATACATCTCTTTCCTTTGGCAAGTTGCAGATTTGGGTAGCAGCCTAAATATGCCACCTCTTCGAGATGGAGCAAGAGTACTTATGAAACTCATGCCACCAGGTAAGAAAACCATGTAAATTAAAAAATAAGAAAACCATATAAAATTTTAGGTCCCTAACAAAATTGTGTTATTTCTCATTTACATACTGTCTGCTTTTGTCTTAAAACAGCAGTTTTTCGTAGTTGTGTCAAAAAGCATATAAACTGCAAAACCTAAACACTTAATTCTGGTGGTACTACAGAAAGTAATTTGCCAGCTTCTATACTGTTTGTGATCATGTATCATCTTTTGCATTGTTGATTTGGGGCTCAGCCTTGGGCCACACCTGGCAGTGCTCTTGGCTTGCTCCTGACTCTGAGCTCATGTTCCTAAAAGTGTTTTTTAAGGAATATAAAAATGAATAGATTGGTGCTTACCTTACACACTGATGGCTCCTGCCGGTTTAGTCCCTGGAAGCTGTCATTGCATTGGCTCGTGCTATGACATTTAGTAGTAAATCTGATTTTCTTTTCTCTCAGTTATATTCCCATTTTGGGTTGTCTTAGCTTTTTCTAAGTATCCTGTAGACCTTTTGCCCCAGATATTCTACTGTTACATTTTTCAAGATCCTTCTCCATGTGATACTATTCTTTCTGTAGGAGTTTGTGTTTTCATGGATATGCTTGTTTCACTGAAATATGCACGTTTTCCTCTAAAATCTAATACCCTAGGGGGGAAAATGCGTTTTTTAAAAAATCAGCTTGTGGCGAAAGGATTTGGGTCCATACCATTCAGTCCTAACTTTTTAAAAATTAAGACACAGGGGACTGGGTACTTGCCTTGTACATGGCTGACCCGGGCTCAATCCCCATCATGGCATCCCATATGGTCTCCTGAGCATCACCAGGAATGATTACTGAGCACAAAGCCAAGTAATCTTGGGGCTAAAGATAAAAATCTTCATTTTTATATTCCTTAAAAAACACTTTTAGGAACATGAGCTCAGAGTCAGGAGCAAGCCAAGAGCACTGCCAGTTGTGGCCCAAGGCCAAGCCCCAAACCAACCTTTGAGCATTGCTGAGTATTGTCCCCCCCCCCCAAAAAAAATGAGACACTGAACTTGACAAAAGAGTTTGGATGTATGTATAGTTCAAGGTTTTTTTTTTTTGATGAATTGAGAATTTGTTGGTCTCATTGTCATCTGTTGTTTATTTACCATAAACATTGACGTTTTATATATAACCAAAGTCAAACCTTTTGAATCAGGACATTTATTAATTACTGAATTAACAATTTCTATTCAAGATTTTCTAATCTTCTTTAGAATAAAGATTAATCTCCTTTAGAATAAAAAGATAAGTATTGAATAAAAATGGATAATATGGACATAGACAACGGGAGATAGATAAAACCATGGAAACATAGTCAACAACAATTTATCTTTAAAAAAAACTGAAGTTTTTCTGTTTTATTAAGCTTTTAGATAAAAACTGAGAAACCACTCGCTGTTAAATGACTGTATTGAAACAAATAAGAAAAAGCCTGTATCGAGTGGTGGTGGCTTGTAGGGGTGGGAGGGAAACTGGGGACACTGGTGCTGGAAAATTAAACCAGTGAAGGCATGGGAATTGGAACATTGTATGACTGAAACACAGTCGTGAACAGTTTTGTAATGCTCTATCACGGTTTTTTAAAAAATACAAAAGAACTGCAGTGATTAGTTATGTAACATATGCAAAATCTATTGTGTATTTCCCAGTCCTCATAGTTGTGCATTTCAGTAGGATTTCCAGTACCAAGTGCAGGCAGGGTCCAAAATCATTGAACTTTCTGGATTTGCAGTGGTGGGGATGGACTAGATAAGTTAGGGATCTTGTGTTTTCATTACTCAATCTTTCTAAAGAAAATAACTTGTTCACCTTTCCCATCTTGTTTTGATTCCTATGAAATATAATCAGTACAAATATTAGATATTTAGCTAAGGCTTCTCAGTGATTTGATCTTTATCATATCTATTGCATTTAGAATTTTTTATCATTTATATGCATATTATCTGTGGCTTTGTGTATAAAAATTGAATAATCACATAATTTTTAAACAAGTATACTTCAGAATCCTTAAATTTGTGATTGCAGCATAAAGCCACCAGAGGGCAAGCATGAGCTCTTGCAGGAAGCTCAAGCAGGAAACAAAATGGGGGGAGCGGGCATTCATTTCTAGTTAATTAACATACAGTATTGCAATTTAGAAAAAGCTGGTAGTGATTTTATTAACAGCACATAAATCATAAGCTTTGGGTGCAAATGAACTTGAATCTAAATACTATTGCTTCTACTTGTAACTACATGGCCATAGACCTACATTTTCTTAGTTTTTCAATTTCCTTAGGTGTAAAATGAGCTATTAACTATTTCCTAGAATTTCAGAAATTAAAAGTGGAGTGATATACAGAAAAAATATTTAGTGTCAAAGAAATGTCAACCTAGTTTTGTCAATGTGGTTGCTACACACACATACACACACACATATATATCTTTAAAAAGAGAATTAAGGACTATAAGAAAATTAGGTAGCTCCCCCCCACACACACACACACCTTTACCTTTGTTATTGCTGTTCTTGTGATAAGGGTGGCTACTTGCAGCTGCAAAACATGTGCCCCAGGGCCAGACCAATAGTACAGGAGGTGGGGTGATTGGTTTGCACCTGGCCAGCCCAGGAGTAGTAAGCCTTGAGTACCACGATGTGTGACCAAAAAGAACTTTTTTTTTTTTAAAAAAAGAATGTGCTCTAGTCTTAGAGCTACCTTCCTAGCCCATGCATCCTTTCAAAAGAATATATAGTAATTAAAATCTTGAGTTTATCTCGGTAGAAATGCGTCTTAAATTTTTTTCCTGTAAAGATTAGCATCTTTTTAATTTCAGAGCCCTAAACTCGGGTTTGCAAATGTTAGAACAGGAATAACTATTGATGATCATTTTGTTTATATCCCTCAAATGAATACACTCTACTCAGTATTTGCTGCTTTCTAAAAGTTTTAATTAGAATGAGGGGCTTTTTGGGGCTTTAGGCCATACCTGGCATGGTGCTGAGGAGTTGCTCTTGGTTCGTTGCTTTAGGGATCATTCTTAGCAGTGTAAGGGATTGAATGTGGAGCTCTAGCCTTTGAGTTTCTCCCCAGTTTTCTAGCTTTAGAGTTCTCGATTAATTTTTCCTACTCTTGCCTTCATCCTTCATTCACTTAGGACTCCATCCCACAGTTTTGATGTAAAATAATTGATAGGCATCATTATGTCAGTTTAATAACCTTATTAAGTGCTTTTTTTTAGACTGTCTTTTAAACATGGCATAGAAAATCAGTTCATCTTTTAATACCTTGACCAAAAAATCAGTGCTATACTCTGGTGTGAACAAAGAAATTGGGGCGGGGGGGCACCTTTTTTTTCTTTCCTGCTCTTTTCATACTTGTGTATGATGATTGAAATCTGAATAAACTGTCCTTTTCATGTTTGGGTTCATTGATTAAAGCCTCCTGATTTTGACTTTTTCTCAAATCAGTTTACCCTTGTAAAGTCTGAACACAATTATACTAAACTATTATTTTGTCATCTTAAAATTATCAAAAATGAAAGGTTATGAGCAATATATTATGTTTTGCTTTACACCGTGTCTCTCTGTCTTACAGATAGCACAACAATAGAAAAACTAAGAGCGATTTGTTTAGATCATGCCAAACTTGGAGAAAGCAGCCTTAGTCCATCTCTTGATTCACTTTTCTTTGGCCCTTCAGCCTCACAAGTGCTATATCTAACAGAGGTTAGTTTTTTCCCTTTTGAATTTACGTCTTCTTAAATTTAACTTACAGTTATAGTAAAACACTTGAAATGTTCAATAATTTCTTAGTATTGGTGATAGCAAAAATGGAAGTAACAGCTATCTTTTCAAGATCTTTTAATATAATTCTGTCTTTTTTTTTTCTTTCTCCCTCCCAGGTTGTCTATGCCTTGTTAATGCCTGCTGGTGCACCTCTAGCTGATGAGTCCTCTGATTTTCAATTTCACTTCTTGAAAAGTGGTGGCCTACCCCTTGTCCTGAGTATGCTAACCAGAAATAACTTTTTACCAAATGCCGATATGGAAACTCGAAGGGGTGCCTACCTCAATGCTCTCAAAATAGCCAAATTATTGCTCACTGCTATTGGCTATGGCCATGTTCGAGCTGTGGCAGAAGCTTGTCAGCCAGGTGTAGAAGGCGTGAATTCTTTGACATCGGTAATACAGACTTTTAAAGCATTTTAATATTAGTAATTTTGGTGAAATGTCCCACTAAGTCTTTGAAAGTTGATTCAGAATGCTTAAAGTTTTGTTTTATTTAGAACCTAATTTTAGAGCCTTTCTTCTATTAAATTCTACTTGTATTAAAAGTATAAATGTTCACTGATCGTACTATTAATTTGAGAAGACAGTTCCTTTCTGACCCCTTATTTCCCTTAGAGTTTCAGTTACTTTAAACCTGATATTCGAAACTCCATATAACTTAAAAACTTGGCCAAATAAATAGTACAGCAGAGTAAGGTGCTTGCCTTATGTGCCGCCTACTCACGTTCAGTCCCCACCACTGCATATATACTCCTGAGCCCCACCAGGAGTGATCCCTGAGTACAGCCAGCTGTGCCCCAAAACAAAAAACCTTACAAACTCAAAATTGGTAGATAATACAAAAACATACTTGGTAATGAGAGATGTAGTTGTAATTGAGTTAGCCTCTTGCCAGCCCCTGTTCCCAGTGTGATAGGCTTTAATTAACATCCTGTTCTGAGCTTATTCTTTCTCTGTCTTTGTCCTGGTGGTATCTTTAATCCAAAATTCTTTAAATAATTCCAGCATTTGATGTTTATGCGAGGTCAACCTTTATATTCTTTTTGACAAAAGTTAGAATTTTTTTATATGTCCCATAAGTGATACTGCATATAAGTGACTAATAGAAGATAAAATATTTGGGGTTTAGGTTTTTTGGATATGAAAGTGACTTAGGTCTTGAGCAGGGAGATTGGAATATTGAGTAAAATGCATGTTTATCTTGTGGATAAAGTTACACTGTTGTGTAAAACTTTTATTCTAGTATTTGTACCATTATTAATATTCACTATTTTTTTCCTTTTCAAAAAATGTAATAATCAGGAGGATTAATAATACATCAGGAGTGTCTGACCAAAAGCAAGAACATACATAATATGCTATTGTGCTTCGAGAGTCTCTTAACAGAGGTGGAATTGGATAGGGTTGGAGCCAGTTGATTGGACCTATCACTTACCCCTTATAAATTATGCTGTTTGAAGAAAGTTCTGTTACAGTTAATGCACAATAGAAAAAAAAAAAAGAAAATCTGCTTTGTTGGCAATGTGAATTAATGTTTATGTAAGACCACCAAAAGTTCCACGGTGTCTAATAGGAGGTCACCTTGAGGTGATGGTGAAGAAATGGTCACATGCAAATTGTCACTCCAAGTAAAACTGTTAACTCTTTTCAGGTCACCCAAGTTACTCATGATCAAGCTGTGGTGCTACAAAATGCCCTTCAGACCATTCCTAATCCATCATCTGAGTGTATGCTTAGAAATGTGTCAATTCGCCTTGCTCAGCAAATATCTGATGAGGTTAGTATGAAATGCTTAATGCTCTATTCTTTTTCATTCTTTTTTTTTTTTTCTTTTTACTTTTTGGGTCACACCCGGCGATGCTCAAGGGTTACTCCTGGCTCTGCACTCAGGAATTACTCCTGGCAGTGCTCAGAGGACCATGTGGGATGCTGGGATTCGAACCTGTGTTGGCTGCGTGCAAGGCAAATGCCCTACCCGCTGTGCTATGGCTCCAGCCCCTAATGCTCTGTTCTTTTAAGAATATTTTCTTTCATCTTTGACACTGACAATTTATAAAAAACTCTAGCAATTTGATACTTGATTTACTTGGTTTGTCATTCACTTTATTGACAGTTTAAAGTTCCTGTTATATAAATTTTACTTGCAAAAGTACTAGTTAGCAGTTTCTGCTCTTAATTTTTATCTTCATATACAATAAATTACACCCTTTAAAATACGTGTAATTCGGTGAATTTTTTACAAATGTGTATATGTAAAATTGCTTTACTCAAGATACATTTTTATCACTGATTCTTTATGCCAGTTCACAATCCTTTCTTGTCTCTCTACCCTTGACCTCAGTCACTGCATAGTACAATGTATTCTTTCATCACTCAGAATAATGACTTTGAGAATTATCTGTTTTGTGTGGATCGGTAGGGGTTGTTTTTGGTTTTTTGGTTTTGTTTTGTTTTTATTCCTGAGTGGAGTCCCCTAGTGAGTATTTCGTTGTGTCAGTTTTCTACTTGGCAAAACACATTTTAAAATTTCTTTGCTTTTTTTCTTTTTTGGTTTTTTGGGCCACACTGCCAAACCAGAGCTGACTCCTGACTTAGGCATCGCTCCTGGTGATGCTTGGAGGACCATATGTGGTACTGGGGACTGAACCAGTGTCGGGGATGTGCAAGCTCTGTACACTCTCTTCAGCCCTTCTTCACTTTTATGGCTGTGAATAAAGCTGCTGTGAATTGGCATAGATACCATAGTTTGTATTTCTCAGAAACCAGGAGTGGAGAGGTTGAATATCTTTTCATAGTCTTTTTTTCAGTTTCTTATGAAAGTAACATTGGGCCAATTAATAGCATGAAGAGGCTATTCTGTGATTTGCTGTTGTAGACAAAAAGGGAGGTGAAGCCAGGTTGGGAATCTAAGCATCATATTGCTACATGATCATTCCTATTTCCCATTTCCTTTATGACAACACACATTTTTCTCAGAATTACTCTTAATTCTAACAGTTTTTATTACTCATGTCCTACAGGCTTCAAAATATATGCCAGATATATGTGTAATTAGAGCTATACAGAAAATTATCTGGGCATCAGGATGTGGGGCATTACAGCTTGTATTTAGCCCAAATGAAGAAATCACTAAAATTTATGAGAAGGTAAGAATTGTCACAGAAGTTTACTCCTTTCAAATAAATGTTTTAATTGTGCATGAAGGCAGGCTGATTCAGTCTGCTCTCTGTTGAAGTTCAATTATAACTTTAGTGGCCAAAAATTTTAACTGATAACATTAAGATAGAAATAGTAAAACTGTGCTTTGAAAATGTCATTGAAGAATTCTGCCATAAGGGTGCTTCTTTTTGTTTCTGGGCACACCTGGAAGTCCTCAGGGGTTACTCTTGGCTATGGAATTATTCCTGGCAGTTCTCAGGGGACAATATGATTGAACCTGGGTTGGCCACGCACAAGAGAAGCATCCTGTGTGCTATACATTGCTCTGGCCCCAAGACTGCTTTTAAAATATGAAACTTAAAAAGTATTTTTCTATTCACTGAAGTCAGATACAATTTCCTCAGACTAAATTTGTTTTTTCTAGTGTTACATTATTTCATTATCTGTTCTTGTGTTTTAATTTATGCAGCTTGTGGCACTGCGATATTTCAAATTTTTTGGTTCTCTAAAAGCAGAGTTCTCAAAGTTGAGTGTATTAGCCAATTAAGCATCATCACTGTCCTTACAGAATAAAGACCAGATTTGTAACATTTAATTTTTTTTGTTCCGGGGCAGAGCTGGTACCACACTGTGTTCATGGGCCCTTTCTGGCTTTGCTCAGGAGTGGCCTCTGGCAGTACTAGGCATCCAAACTGGGTCAGGAAATGCCTTAACATATACGCTATCTATGGTCCTTGCATTTGACTTCTAAGTTTATCAACCACTTACCTAAAGCACATTTTCGGTTGTTAAAACTTAACCTAAAAGATTGTTTGAAGGAAATTGCTTTAGACTAAATGTAACTATAGTTTACTATAGGCTCCTTAATAGAACTAGTCAGAAGTTCCTAACCATGGTGCTGTGGTGGTTCTTGTGGAGAAATGAGCTTTGAGCCAAGTGGTTTGGGTGAGTTTTAGCTCTAAGTAGAAATTATGTGACTTCACTTAAATGCGCTAGGTAATTTTCTCTTAACTAAAATTTTACAGACCAATGCAGGCAATGAACCAGACTTGGAAGATGAGCAGGTTTGCTGTGAAGCATTGGAAGTGATGACATTATGTTTTGCCTTGATTCCGACAGCCTTAGATGCTCTTAGTAAAGAAAAAGCATGGCAAACATTCATTATTGATTTGCTGTTGCACTGTCACAGCAAGTAAGTATATATTTTTCTTAATTTTTTTAATTGAATCACCCTGAATTACAAAATTACAATGGTATTTGTGATTGAGTTTCAGACATACATTGTTTCAATACTAAGTCTATGTTTTTGTAAATAGAAAAAGAATTCATCTCGGAATTCAAATATTATTGGTATTTAGGAAAAATTTGATTTAACCGTGTTTTGCCAAGAAAACAGACTTGCTTGGGTTAGTTTCTGCAGAATTCCAGCATATTAATTCTCAGAGTACTGATTTTTTTTAATTTACAGAATTAGGTTTTCTCTGTTTTGTATACCTCCTGCTTGGCTGTTTAAAATATTTAGTATTTGAGTTTAGATTAAATGGGACATTTACCTATCTTGCATACTGAGGTGCCATGTTTTAATTGTGAATTTGTTGATGAAATATGAAATGCATTAATCAGGGTTATTGTAAGAACTTGGGTTTAATAAAGAATAAAAAGTGTAAAATACTAAACACGCAGAAGGTTGTGTGTGGGGGCTCTCTGGACTGCTCTGTCTCACCGCCCTAGTTCGGTGCCCTAGAGCCGCTGTGTGTGGCCTGGATCGGGACGGCCGTTGGTCAAGGGCAGACGAGGGCCAGGCCGGTTGATCTTAGTAGCAGTTTATTACAAGGAAGTTTATCCCATAGAAGAAATTTATGTTATGGAGGGCCTAGTTTCTCTTAAGCACATGTTCCCCTTGCTAGTCACTCCGTGGTCCATCTTGCAGCTCTGCTCTCTTTCTCTCTAGCTCCCTTATCTCTCCAACTTGTGGCAGTCTGGGCTGACACTCCACCCAGTCAGGTAGCCAAATCAACATAAGAAAGCCATTCCTGAGGGCCCACCTAAAAGGTATTCTAAAGCCCTTCCTGACTGCCCCAGGCAAAATACCTCTTTAAGGTGTTTTTCTCTTTTCCTCAGTCCAATAAATTATCAATAAACTATCAGCTATTCCAGAGGCTATGCAGGAAGGACAGAACAGTGTTATCCTACAAAAATTTGTTAAGCCCTTATTTTCATAACTGATTAATAGTGAATTTTCCTTACTCTGTACACTCAGCTTCCCAGACCTCTTTAGTAGGTCGTCTTTTTTTCTTCCATACCATAATACTAATCTTTTATCATTTACTGTTGAATTTCGATTTTTTAGATGGGTTTGTGTTTTTAACTTAAACCAGCACATGTTGCTTTTATATCCTTTGTCATTAACTGATTCGTGGGGGCATTTGGAAGCCAGATGTGGTATAGTGATTTCATGGCAGAACTGACTAGTCTGGTTGGTGTGTACAAGTGAGGGAGTAAAATAATTAAAAGATAGAGTAGGAAACTCTTTGATGCTGAACTCTGACAGGCAGTTTCATTGGTAAATAAGTCAAGTACCTATTATGTACCTGTACTGCACTATTCTAGGGATATAAATAGAAGAGAAAATTTTAGCCTTCTTGAGATCTCTGCACTAATAGGAATGGAGACTGGCAAGGGGAACCAGGGCAGCGTGTAGTATATTAGATTGGTGCAGACAGGAAGAGAAGGAAAGGGAGTGGGGCTTGTCAGTGGTATTTTATATAGGATATTCAGACACAGACTCCCTAAAAAAAGTGATCTTGAAACTACTCTGAAAGAATTACATAATAGGGAAGTATGTTTGAAGCAGAAGGAACAGATGTAAATGTCCTAACATATCTGGTACTTAGCATGTCCCATAACTCAGGCACTAAGTTCTGTAGCATAGTGGCAAACTGAATAGATGATGTCTGTTGTCTTAGCATTTATTCTGCTTGAAATGTTGAGGTGGGTGTGCCATGTGTGTTTCAGAATCCATTGTGATGAAGTAAATTCTTAGTACTGGGCCTGAAGATGTGGTTTTCCTCTTGGTCATCAGAGAGAGTATTGTATAATCCAATGTTGTTCTCAATCTTTGACACACTAATACACAATTTGCTAGGCCTGACCTCCCATTTTTTTCTAATTTTAACCTCTCTGGGATGAAAATGCGTGTTTACCAAATAAGTTCTCAAATAGGGGCTTCAGATCGGGGAATATGCTTTGGGAATGACTAGTATAAAATAAGAACAGAAAGTTTCCCTGTTGTAATTGCAAGTGCTTGCTCCAAAGCACAATCGGATGTAAGTTCAGCGAAAGGTTTTAAAGTTCCGTGTAAAGCCTCTTACATCAGAGGAGCATTAGAATTTATTCCTCAGAATCCTTCAGTGACACCTTGATCTTGTGGCAACACACTGCCTACGTTCATCTAGTAAATGTTGCTGGCTTACGGAACTGTTAATGTTATTTTTACCATTAATTTACCTATTCTTTCTCTCCATTCCCAGAGAACCCACTGTTGGAATTTATTTTCCTGCATGAAAATAATATATTAAATGTGAAACATTTTTATTTCAGAACCGTTCGCCAGGTAGCCCAGGAGCAGTTCTTTTTAATGTGTACCAGATGTTGCATGGGACACAGGCCTCTGCTATTCTTCATTACTCTGCTCTTTACCGTTTTGGGGGTGAGACTTTTTTTATAATACATTTTATCATTTGATGCATTCTTTAAGTAAATGTTTAGAATGGGTTTTGGCATATATTTAAGCAGTTTGCATAGGCCAGGGGATGTAGTTCAGTGATAAAGCGATGCTTTACTGCATGTATGAGGCCCTGGGTTTGAACTCTGCCACTGAAAATAAAGTTAGATCAGTTGATACTTAATAAAACTACTGGTAATTTTCCTTGCTGCTTTAATCATTACAGTTAATTCCGGGGTTTTCTTTAAAAGTAGATTTTGGGTGTGACCGTGTAAATTAAAATGATTATGCCTTATGTTTCAGAGTACAGCCAAAGAGAGAGCTAAACATTCAGGCGACTACTTCACTCTTCTCAGACACCTTCTCAATTATGCTTACAATAGTAATATTAATATGCCCAATGCTGAAGTTCTTCTCAATAATGAAATTGATTGGCTTAAAAGAATTAGGGTAAGTTATATATAATAATATTTCAGAAAACCATGTTTTGTTATAGTTTTGAACATTCTCATCAAATGAACACCAAAAAGGACCAAAGACTCTTCTCTGTGTTGTTGGGTATTTGTTAGTGTTGCCACTATTCAGTGTTGCCCATTATACATAACTAGTTTTGTAAAATACTTTATCTGATACCAGGGATATTGATTTTTCAGCTTTTATTATTGTAGAATTGGGGGAATTTTTGCTAGTCGTCTTCTTGAATTGTTTTAATAAGTGTGTCTGATTGACTAGCATTTAGCCCTAGATCTTAATACTTATAACTATTATGTGTATATATATATTTATGAAGAAATTTATTGTCTTATTCCAGTAATTTTAACTTCTAGAAAGTTCTAAAAAGAAATTAACATTGTTTGGAATGGAAAGATTTGATGAAATTGCCTCATTTCTTCTGTCCAGCATTTTTCTTGTGTTCTCCAGCTTTCATTTGTAAATTTGACATTTGAATTTATATTGTATTCATCTATTTTTTAGGATGATGTTAAAAGAACAGGTGAAACAGGTGTTGAAGAGACAATCTTGGAAGGCCACCTTGGGGTAACAAAAGAGTTACTGGCCTTTCAAACTCCTGAGAAAAAGTATCATATTGGTTGTGAAAAAGGAGGTGCTAATCTCATTAAAGTAAGTTCTGACATCTTGTTCCTAAAGTAGGTCTTAGAACCTTTTAAATGTTCATGAGCAAATCTGGTTAATATGCAATATCAAGTCTTTTGTTATCCTGGCCATTGCTCTTTCCTCCTTATTTTTATGTTCTGCACTAGAGACAGGGATAGGACCTAGGTCTCCCCACATGAATGGCATGCACTTGGCTCTGACAACTAGCACAGGGCTTACTTACCATAGTGACTTTTGTAAGTAGCTTATTTGGGTTTTTTATATGAATAAAAACCCCACACTTTTTCAAATACAATATTTTTCTATTTAGAATATCTGTAATTTCCACTTTACACTTTTTAAAATGTGATAGTCTGTTGTCTACATCTCATTTTTTTTGTTTGTTTTGTTTACTTGGGGTAGTGTGTTGGGTTGGGGATAGAGAGAGGGCTGTTAATGATAGGGATCCACTACAGGGCTCTCAGATGCACAGCACTTTGGTCTTGGATTTTGTTTTTTTCTCTTTAATGACTAATTGTCATGGGTCAAGGGGGGGTGTGGATGGGAATGAGGGTTGAATCTCAGAGTCCTTTGTGCCTCCGGCTCCTCTGCCACTTACGTAGTAAGTAAAGAAAAATATTTTAATGCATCTCATTTTTATTCAAAATGAGTTCTGGGAACAGAGGGTGGTGGAGGGATACTGGGATCATTGGTGGTGGAAAATGGGCACTGGTGGAGGGATGGATACTCAATCACTGTATAACTGAAACCCAAACACAAAAATTTGTAAGTCTACAACTGTACCTCATGGTGTTTCACTAATAAAAAAAAATTTTTTTAATGAGTTTTGGGAAACCTGAGGTTAATAACAGGAGTAAGCTTATTTGAAGTACAGATTTTATAAAATACTGTGCTTAGTTGCTCTTGATTTTTAAATTTTTTTAATTCTAGTTTATTAACTCTATTGAGTTCTAAGCAAGATCTTTTCAGGGGTTTTTGTTGTTGTTGTTATTTGTTTTTGTTTTTTTGGTGCTGTAATTTTTAGAGGACTATTCCTGGTTCTATGCCTAGGAGAAAAAAACTGGGGCGGGGGGGAGGGGCAGGGATGGTCATACATTGTGCTTGGGATTTTAACCTGGGTCAGCTGTATGCAAGGCAAACACCCTCTCCAGTCCCTAAAGTGAAGTCTTTCTATCAAGTGAGGTATTTTAAACTTAATATTCCAAGTATTTTTTAAGTATTTCATATGTAATACATAGTGTGTAAAATGGGACTAGAGCAGTAGTACAGCAGGCAGGGTTCTTGCATTGCATGGGACTGATTCGGGTTCCATCCCTGGCACCCCATATTACCCCCCCAAGCCCCATAAGAAGTGTGTCTTAGCACCGCCCAACCCCCAGGCCCCCCCCAAAAAGTTGCACCATATACTAATATTAAGTCCTTTTTTCTATTCTTGTAGGAATTGATTGATGATTTCATCTTCCCTGCATCTAATGTTTACCTACAGTATATGAGAAATGGAGAACTGCCTGCAGAACAGGCCATTCCTGTCTGTGGTTCACCAGCTACCATTAATGCTGGTTTTGAGTTACTTGTAGCATTAGCTGTTGGCTGTGTGAGGAATCTCAAACAGATCGTAGATTCTTTGACTGAAATGTATTATATTGGCACAGCAATAACTAGTAAGTATTTTTTCTTACACTTTTTTACTAACCATGGTACTAGGAGGGAACGTGTGATGCCAGGGATCAAACCCAAAGCCTCACACATGTAAGATGCATGCTTTCCCATTTGAGCTGCCTACATACCCAGCCCCTGGTATTTTTGACAGATTGTTTTCAAATTTAATTTTCCTGCTTTAATATATTTAGAAAATAGATGTACAACTTAAAGCCATTTAAGCAAATAGCCTTAAAATTAGAAAATATTTCAAATTTTTGTTAGAGGTCTTCTGTCAATGGTACAAGTATATAAGAAACTTTGAGTAATAAGTCATGATTAAAATGTCACAAATGAAAAGGTCACAATTAAACTTTGAAATAATATGTTTATGAAAAAATCTTCAGTGCCCTAGTGAAATTTTTTTCATGTGAACTTTAAGAAAATAGGCTTTTAAAGGGCTCGAATGAGAGAATGTAATATTTTAGTCTTTTTTTTTTTTTTAGTACACCTCAGAACTTCTATGAAGCCCATCAAATAGATTATAAACTCTAGATCTTACTGAAGCTTCAGAGGTGAGGCAATGGTATAAAAAGCAGAGATTAGGGGCCAGAGAGGTGGTACAGCAGCTCCTATACAAATAAAGCAGAGACTATTGTTTATCTAGAATGCTTAAGACCATTATTACAGTAAATATTTAAAAGAATGTCCAATAATTTTTTGAAATGTTGTGTTTCAGGATATAAGAAAACTTAAAATACTTTTAGAAGCTATTGATTCATACTCCTAACTCCAGCACTGCAAAATGTGTTAAACCACATTAAAGTGTGAGCCACCAATGGTACACACCTGCCTCAATGAGTTAACGTGCTTAAAATTAATCTTTTAGCTATGTAATAAGGCAGGGTTTTAACGGTTTTTAGAGAATTTTGAATTTTGCATTTATTGTACAAAGTGTTCGTTTTGTTCATTTTCCCCTTGGCATACGTGCTATCAGTATATAAAAACATACTGATTTCATTATTGGCTATTTCACTTTAGTGTACTGTAAGTTGTTTAATCAGTCCCTGGATGAGTAGTTTTTGTCTACTGACTTTCAGGCCTTGGCTGTCTGCTGAGATTTTCTTCAGGTCCAGGTCAAATTTACTGCTTCTTATCACACTTAGGTCATGAGATGCAGAAGTCCCCAGACTTATTCGACCTAAGAACTCCTTTTCAGAGGAAAAATACTCTGTACCCCTCAACTGCACCTCAGGCTACTACTGTCTCACCTGGATCATTCAGTACCCCCACCCCTCAAAGGGAAAGGGACAGTATAGTTCACTTTGAGAAACTGATGTAGTAGCCACAATGATATTTTGGGGAAATGGTGGTTTTAAACTATTCCCCTAGATCCTACCTTCTGGGTCATGCATCCCATATGGGCTCACACAGCCTTTTTTTTTTTTCTTTAAATTAATTATGAATGCTTTACTAGTAAATTTTTTTCTTTGTAACCAAATACTGTGTGTGTGTGTGTGTGTGTGTGTGTGTGTGTGTGTGTGTGTGTGTGTCTGGGATCACATAAACATTTCCTGATCATAAATGGGTCATTTACAAGAAAAGTTTTAAGAGGCCCTGCCCTCAACAATTACATTTATGATATTTATATTGCTTACTGACTGGAAGTGTAATGCACAGTTCATTACAGCAGTAAAGCTAAAAATATAACCAGCATAAAAGTTCATTACCATTGTTTTATCTTGTGTGAATACTTTCAAGGTGCAAAAGCAACATCAGATAAACTATAGGCTTGTGGATACAGGGTAAGAATCTGTAGTGGTATATTTTGCTGTATACATTAGGTTTTTGATGGTGAGCACTGCTTTAGGTGCCTATAGAAATGGTGGAAATTTTGTGTTAATTTATTGGCCTACTGGAGCTTATAGTGGGCAAAATAATTGTATTTGTACTACACGAATCTTTCATTTTTACTCAGCCTGTGAAGCACTTACTGAGTGGGAATATCTGCCTCCTGTTGGACCCCGCCCACCGAAGGGTTTTGTGGGTCTGAAAAATGCTGGTGCTACTTGTTACATGAATTCTGTGATACAGCAACTCTACATGATTCCATCCATCAGAAATGGTATTCTTGCAATTGAGGGCACAGGTAGTGACGTTGATGATGATATGTCTGGGGATGAGAAGCAAGACAGTGAGGTAATTGTTGTTTTCTGTGTTTCAAGTTATACCAATTGTTCTAGAAAATGCTGTACTTTCATTAGATTTAGGTATATCTTTAAAAATAAAGCCAGTGGGGTCAGAGAGATAGATATTACAGGGATTAAGCTGCTCGCCTTACACGTGACCAGTCCTGGTTCGATCCCCAGCACCACCACCAAGAGTGATGCCTAAGCCCAAAGCAGTGAACAAGTCCTGATCCCAGCCTGGTGCCCTGCCACTGCCCCATCTGCCCCCAGAAAATAAAAACGTCAGAATTTCACGGTGTGAATTACTACTTCTTCACATAATATGGTGCTGTGGGAGAGGGTGGTGTCAAGGTTTTTGTATATTCTAGAATTTTCACTTGTATTGCTAATGTCAATAGCTCCATTTTTTAATAATATGCCTGTTTTATATTTGTGCTTGTTCATCTGTTTATCCAGATCGCCACTCCTGCTTAGGAAACAGACTTATTCGTTGTTTAAATTCTAGCTTTGTAGTTTTATCACTTCTGGAATGTTCAATTAAGTACAAATACATAATTAATTGTACTGTGGCAAGAATCAGGCAGACAGAATCGTATTTCAAATAAATGTCTCAACTTAGTTATATTGGCACCCCACTATAATTAGTGGGGATTTTGCCGGGTTGGGGGGCATGTTGCTGGGCCAGGAGTAGATTGCTTATTTATTTCCTTAGATGATAAGTTTCTCGTGAGCTGGTTATTATTTGTTTCTATATCACGGGGCTGAAAGTTCTTGTTTCTATATCACAGGTCTAAAAATTCTTCAGCCACCTTTTCTTTTCCATTTTTGTGAATTTGATTACTCATAAATGGAATTATATCCCCTTTTTTGTGATCTGTATTCCATCTTATATAATATCCTCAAGGTTTATCTCAGCTTCCTTTTTCAGACTAATGAATAATCATTGTAGGCATAGATGACATTTTTCTTATTCATTAATGAACACTTGGGTTGATTTGACCTTTTTTCTATGTTGAATGCGTTCATTGCTGTGAACATGAGTATGCAAATAACTCTCTGAGACCTTTCTCTGTTTCTTTGGGTGTAGGAATTGCTGTATCATGTGGTAATTTTACTTTGAATGTTCTGAGGGAGTTTTCCATAATGCTCGCACCATTGTGATGACATGTCTGGGGATGAGAAGCAAGACAGTTCACATTCCCAGCAACAATGCACAAGGGTTCTGATTTGTTTACACAGAAGTCTTTCATTTTCATTAGGTTTAATAGGTCTGTCTTGTCTTTCATTTCCTGTTTCCTTGGTGTCATAATTGCCAGATGCAATATTGTAAATGCATTTTCCTGCTCTTGCATTCACATTGTGTGAATTTTGTATACAGTGTTAAGAATCCAATTTAATTCTTCTTGCATGTGGATGTCTAGTTTTTCCAGTGCTTTTTATTGAAGAATAATACTCTTTTTTTGTTTTTTGTTTTGGGGCCACACCTGGCAATGCTCAGGGGTTACTCCTGGCTCTACACTCAGGAATTACTCCTGGTGGTTCTCGGGGACCAAATGGGATGCTGGGGACAGAACCCGGGTCGGCCGTATGCAAGGCAAGCGCCCTATCCTCTATACTATCGCTCTGGCCCACGAAGAAGAATAATACTCTTAATGTTGTGAGTTCTGTACCTGTTGGTGCCGGGGATCAAACCCCTGGCCTCATGTATGCAAGGCTTGTGCTCTCTCACTTGAAGCACATTCACAGCACCCTACTATCCTTATGTGTATTTTATTGAATGATAATAGTTCTGTGTGCTTTGTGTATATAATTCTTGTAATTATTATCTCATAATTCTTAAAAGCTAGAGAAAGAGTGGTTGTTTCCATTTACACATGAGGCAAAACTTAGAAAGGTTAAGTAATTTACATACTCCAGATTATTTGTGTTTAAGTCACATAGCCTCTGTGTCCAATCATTCTAATTATTCTATGTTATATACCTGTGTTGCGTAGTTATTTTATGACAACTGTTACATGAAATGGTGATGATAAACTGTAAGTTAAAATTTGTATCTTGAAAATAGGGTACTTCAGAAATAAAAGTATAGGTTACTTATTCACTTTTGTTTGTTGGTTCTAGAGCAATGTTGATCCCAGAGATGATGTGTTTGGTTATCCTCAACAATTTGAAGACAAACCAGCATTAAGTAAAACAGAAGATAGAAAAGAATACAATATTGGAGTTCTAAGACACCTTCAGGTTATTTTTGGACATTTAGCTGCTTCTCGACTACAGTACTACGTGCCCAGAGGATTTTGGAAACAGTTTAGGTAAACTATGGGTGGATAGATAGTCTTGGGGTTGGCTGTTTAAACTGCCCCTTAACACACTAACTTTAAACTTCTAAAATAAATCTTGGAAGGCCTCTTTTTATGTGTAATTCTATAGTGGTGATATTCGAACTTTTATTCCTCATTTTACTCAGGTTTTTTCCTGTTTGTTGGGAGTTTCTCTTCACTGTCCCCCAAAAGGAGGAGGTGAAAAGTATCACAGCAAGAAGTAGTTCTTTAGTCTCTAGGAGATGTTAATTGGTTTGTTTTAAATTTTAAAAAAAAATAGAGAGGGCCAGCCTGAGAGAGTGTGCAGCAGTTGACATGCTTGTTTTGCAGTCCACTGCCCCTGGTTTGAATCCTTAGCACTGTGGCTAAGAAAAACAGTTCCCTCTGTGGCTCAGAAAAACCCAGGAGTGGGGTTGGAAGGAAAGGAAAAGAATGAACACTTCTGTTTCCCATGTTAACCAGAAATACAAAACTATGTCATTGATCATTCCCAGCAGTGCCTAGGATTTAGCAGGATCAGTTCTCATTTTATCATATACAAAATTGAGTTTGTTTTTCCTGATTTATTTGCTTGATTTATGTCCTTGGGTGGTTATAAAAGACATCCATTCCAAGTGCATCAAAACCATCTCTTTGCATTGAGAAAAATACATAATAGCATCTACAGAAGAGCAATATGATACCTGCACGCCCCATTTTTTATAAGATCTTCAGTTGGATTCAAAATGCATTTATACCACCTAAAGTGGTATAATATGGGGGGCTGGAGAGATAGCACGGCGGGTAGGGCATTTGCCTTGCACACGGCCAACCCGGGTTCGATTCCCAGCATCCCATATGGTCCCCTGAGCACCATCGGGAGTAATTCCTGAGTGCAGAGCCAGGAGTAGCCCCTGTGCATCACCGGGTGTGGTCCAAAAAGCAATAAAGTGGGGTATAATGAAGCCATAATGTCCATAAACTATACAACTTTGGTATTTCTGAGTAGAATAACACTTTTATTTTGAGCCTCCGCTTGTCTATTCATTCTATGCAGTAACTTCTACTCATATCCTAATGTACTTGGATAAAATCTTTGGGTATCTAGATTGTTTTGTTTTGGGGGGGGGTCACACCTGCCTGTGCTCCAGGTTTATTCCTCACTCTGAGCCTGATATGGCTTGGGACCATATGGATGGAGCGCCAGGATTGAGCCAGGGTTGACCACGAGCAGGACAAAAGCCTTATTTATGGTACTGTCTCTCCGACTGCTGCACTGCCTCTTTGTAACTGGAAAAACATAATGATAAAGTGTACGTGTTCTTGAAATTTCAAAAACTGTGTTTTATTTCATTTACTAGGCTTTGGGGTGAGCCTGTTAATCTGCGTGAGCAACATGATGCTTTAGAATTCTTTAATTCGTTGGTTGATAGTTTAGATGAAGCTTTGAAAGCCTTAGGGCATCCAGCCATGCTGAGTAAAGTCTTAGGAGGTTCGTTTGCTGATCAAAAGATTTGCCAAGGCTGCCCACACAGGTAAGTGCTAATTAGTTATTTAGAGTGTGCATATCAATTGCTAAAATAATTTTTCACTCATGTTCATAAATGGAATAGACCACCAATTACTAATTACCTAAGGTTAGTATATATGGTTTTTATTAAAGGCTCAGTGGGAAGAGACTTGCAGGGGGTGGGGCGGTTCTTTGTCAACTTTTGGTTTCTTTTACCCACTTAGTCTCTTAAAATTTTATTCTCCTTCACATTATTTTGTGTATGGTCATTCCAGAGTGAAATGGCAAATTTTAAGTAACTCAGGTGTTACTTAAAATTTCTCCTGAATCATAGAATGTGTAAATCATTGCAAAATACTCTCAAGTGCACTTAGTTTAGGTTCCTGACATGGAACACTAGATCCTATACAAGTGAAATGTGGAGTTTTAAATAGTATTGATTGTTGCCATCCTTAAGGTGTGCTTTTTCAAACAACGTATGTAAATATTGTTGACATTTATTCTTTTTTATTTAAATCTAATGAGAAATTTATTCAGAGCTTTTGCGAAAAACAAATGAGTAACTTTACTAAACTTATCACTGAAAGTGACTTTGTAGTTTAACTTGTCAACGTTGGTTTGTAATCCCATTTACTTGAAGCATAGCTATGTAGTGCAGGCAGTATTAGATACAGTGATGGCTCATAATGGTGTTGCTTGAATACAATTTGGTTTTATCATTAGGAGAGAGGTAATAATATAGAAATAAGAAATTTTCATCAGGTTAAATCATTGTAGATGAGAGTATGTTATCCAACCTTTTACAGAAAACTATTGGCTACCATCTTTGAATGTTTCATATCTTTTTCTCCCTATTTAAATGAGTATGAGGGACTACTTTAAATATTGAATATACTTCATAGCTTACACATGAAAGTTACTCTCAACAGTTACTGAGTTAATTTGATGGTTGGGAATGTTATTTCCCATACATTTGGTGTTCATACTTTATGATTGTCTCATTAGAAATACGACAATTCCTTTGGTTTAACCATACGACATTAGATTTCTAATTCCTACTCAGATTGCTTATCCCCTATTTGTGTGTTCAAACTTACAGAAAATTCAGTCCATTCATAGATGTAAATAATTTTTTTTAAGAATTTAATGACTGCTTTTGGTTGCTGTGAATTTCTAAGTGGCTAATACTGGAAGTAGCTCCATAGTAGACTATAAGTAGAGCTTAAGCTGAGAAGCCAAAGAGACTTTATTTTAGGATATTTTGTCTAGTAAACTTGAGCAAGTTAACCTTTCTGTACCCTGTTTCCTTCGTCTTTGAGATAGAGATAGTGATAATACTCAGGTGTATCGTGAAAACAAAAAGGACTAGTGTGGAACTAGAGATAGCACGGAGGGAAGGGCACTTGCCTTGCAAGTGACTGAGCCCCGGGTTCGATTCCAAGCACCCCATATGGTCCCCCAAATCCCACCAGAAGTAGTGACAGCCAGGGGGGATTGCCTAGTATATGCAATGTGTAACTATAATAAATGCCCATCATACAGTAAGTGACTAGTAAATGATAACTCATTTATCAGTAGCCTTCTGTAACTTAATGATTGTTCTATTATGAACATTGCAGTTGTAGTTTTACTCCTAAGTAAAACTAGAGTGTGTAGGAAACTGAGGAAATAATTGTTTTTGATCATTTCTTAAATAATATCTTTAGATACGAGTGTGAAGAATCTTTTACGACTTTGAATGTGGACATTCGAAATCACCAAAATCTTCTTGATTCTTTGGAACAATATGTCAAAGGAGATTTATTAGAAGGTGCAAATGCATATCATTGTGAAAAATGCAATAAAAAGGTATGGATTGTCCAGCTTTGTTTAAAATAATTACTACATTTAATGTATTTCTTCCCCTGCATTGTTATAGAGGTAACAGATAATATCTAAAGGTGTATATGCAGTAAGGAACATATACCTTTATAGTGTCAGACAAACTAGGAAGAAAAACAGGGTAAATCAGGTAAAGTGAATCATTTTGGAAATTATAATAACATACTGTTGGACTCTTCAGTGCAAAAGAATAAGAAAAAGATTCCTCATTTCCAAAATTACTTGTCAAAACCAGGACTTTGGGGGCTAGAGGGATACTTACAGAGGTTAAGGTGAGTGCTTGCCTTGCACACAGCTAACCGTGGTTTTATCCTGACACCCTGTAGGCACCGCCAGGTGTAGCCCAAAAACCCAAAAAAAGTTGTTTGGATCAGATGTTGTTTTCCCTCATCCCCAGTCATGTTTGCACTTCCTTAACTCTTTGTAAGAAACGATTCACATGTATATCACATGTACATTAAATAATGCTAATCTTCCTTGACTCCTACATACCTTTATTGCTTTGACTTTGCACACCTCTTACAAATAAGTCCAGAGATAAGTTCTTGAGGCAAGTCACTAATCCTTAACTTTAAGATTCAATTATAAAAATAATTCGATTATAACTGCCTGAAAGATTGCTAATAATTAAATTTACTGGTTGGGCTGTTACCTTGTTACCTGGCTCCTTGATTGCCTGAATATTTTATCTGCTACTTGGTTTTTTTCAGTGTGCTCTTGGAAATCCACCTTTTCAAAAATGTCGTTTAACAAGCGATTGGAGAGATACAGTACAGTGGGCAGGGCACTTGCCTTGCAAGCTGCTGACCTGGTTTCAGTGATCCCCAAAAACTATGGTCAATCAAACCCTGCCAGTAGTGATCCCTGAGTGCAGAGCCCTGAGTAAGCTCTGAGTACCACCAGGTTGGCCCCAAATCCAAAAATAAGTAAATTTAAAGTAACAATAAAACAAGTAGTAATGGTTAAATAATAGTGGCTCTGTCAAAACTAGTTGTGTGAGTAGTATCTACCACAAATCTTTGCCGTTTGTAATAAATGGTACTATTTTGATTAATATTTTGAAAAAGTCTTATAGAAATACTTTATGTTCATTATTGTGTGATTATACTTGTAAATTTCCCTTTAAAGAGGAGTTAATACAACTTTGGGTTTATTGCAATACATTACTAAAGAACATCCAATAATTTGTTCTCTCTTTTAGGTTGATACTGTAAAGCGCTTGCTAATTAAAAAATTGCCTCCTGTTCTTGCTATTCAACTTAAACGATTCGATTATGACTGGGAAAGAGAATGTGCAATCAAGTTCAATGATTATTTTGAATTTCCTCGAGAGCTGGACATGGAACCATACACAGTTGCAGGTGTTGCAAAACTGGAAGGAGATAATGTAAACCCTGAGAGTCAGTTAATACAACAGAACGAGCAGTCTGAAAGTGAGGCAGCAGGAAGCACAAAATACAGACTTGTAGGTGTGCTCGTACACAGTGGTCAAGCAAGTGGAGGACATTACTATTCTTACATTATTCAAAGGAATGGTGGAGATGGTGAGAGAAATCGCTGGTATAAATTTGATGATGGAGATGTAACAGAGTGTAAAATGGATGATGACGAAGAAATGAAAAACCAGTGTTTTGGTGGAGAGTACATGGGAGAAGTGTTTGATCATATGATGAAGCGTATGTCCTATAGACGTCAGAAAAGGTGGTGGAATGCTTATATTCTTTTTTACGAAAGATTGGACACAATAGACCAAGGTGATGAGTTGATAAGGTACATATCAGAGCTTGCCGTCTCCACAAGACCCCATCAGATCACTATGCCATCAGCCATTGAAAGAAGTGTACGAAAACAGAATGTGCAGTTCATGCATAACCGAATGCAATATAGTTTGGAATATTTTCAGTTTATGAAAAAACTGCTAACATGCAATGGTGTATACTTAAATCCTCCTCCAGGTAAGTACAAATGTAGCTTCTTGGTGATAAAGCATAATTTTTACTTGCAATGTTGATAGCAAGCAGTGTGTGGTTTTATCGACGATCAACGGGAGGGCCTTTACCTTTACCTTTACCTTTACTTTTGATAATCACTTGAACAATATATACTGCCTTTGGGTCAAGGAGCTTTATTTGGATTCAAGCATTAGTTTGAAATGTACTTTAGTAAACTAAGTAACTTCAGTAAAATTGTGAAGCAGCTACTATATCATAAGTATTCTGAGGGTTGTAAAGGACATCGGAAAAACTAGCAGAAGGGAAATCTTTGTTTGAAAATGAGGGTCAGACATAGACATCTGTTTCATTTTTTCTTTTTCTTTCATTTTACCTATAGGACAGGATCATCTGTTGCCTGAAGCAGAAGAAATCACCATGATAAGTATTCAGCTTGCTGCTCGGTTCCTTTTTACCACAGGATTTCATACCAAGAAAATAGTCCGTGGCTCTGCCAGTGATTGGTATACATTGCTTTAAATTTTCGTTTCTGTAATAATATGTAATTACTGCGCTGCTTCGTATTATTTTTCAAACCAGTGGTGATCTCGTGTCACATTTGAAGTGCAGAGTTTAAAAATATTCCCAGTTCCAATAGAGAGAAATCATTAAAAATGATTCCTAGTTTCAAGGTTGGAAAGAGACCTATCTCAAAGGGCTGGAGTGTATTGCATGTCCAACATGCTTGGAACCCTGTGTTTGATTGGTCTCTTTGTATACTCTGAGCAATCAGTCTCCCAGGCCCCCACACAGTATAGCAGGAGGGCATTTAAGTCTGCTATTGCTCAGAGACCATAATGGGGGTGAACAGAATCAAACTCAGGTCTGCTGCCAGCAAGGCAAGCACCCTACCTGCTGTACTGTATTGGCTCTTCAGCCCCTTGCATTGATTTTTGATCATGAGCTACTAAGTTTTGTCTTTCATAGGTTAAATTCTGTTATAAATTCAAATGGAAGGAAAACGTAAAATTAAGTTTCAGAAGCTTCTAATGGAAAGTTTCTGTAGGGAAGTCTCTGTATTGCTGTGGTAAAATGGCTGTTTTGATTATACTAATCCCTATCCATATATGTGGAACACTTGATTGTGGTGCTCACATACTTGACCAAGATTGCACTCTTGTGCATCGTGTTGAAAATGGCTTGCAGGGATCAAACTTCAACTTGCAAGGCAGGGAGGGGGTCGAGTCTCTGACCCATGTCTTAACCCATCATTGATAGGTACTCTTCTTTCATGCCCCTCTGAGAATCGACCAAGTAGTATTTATCAGTAGTTTTACTAGAATCAGCCACTTCTGGTTCCTTCTGCCCAGTGCTTTCAGGTTTTGTTTAAGACCTTTGCTTTTTATTTGGGTCAGAAATCTGTTGTTCTCTAAGAAATATGCCACTGAATTATACAGATTGTTTTCTTTTAGGTATGATGCATTATGTATCCTCCTTCGTCACAGCAAGAATGTGCGTTTTTGGTTTGCACATAATGTCCTCTTTAATGTTTCAAATCGCTTTTCTGAATACCTTCTGGAGTGCCCAAGTGCAGAAGTAAGGGGTGCATTTGCAAAACTTATAGTTTTTATTGCACATTTTTCCTTACAAGATGGGCCATGTCCTTCACCTTTTGCTTCTCCTGGACCTTCTAGTCAGGTAATTCACACAGCTTTCTTAACAATTAGATGCTTATAAATGTATTTCCTAAAGTTGAAGTTGTAACGTAAATCTATGTATATTTGTTTGATTTGTTTATCTAATGTGTGTATACATGCATACATACCACACATTCTGATGTCTTCGGTTTTACAAGTCTGTAAAAATGGACTTCCATCTTAAAAAATTGTAGGCAATTTGAAGGCTCTAAAATGAAACCTACCTCAACTCTTCTGTCCCTTTCCTAAGAAGAAACCCTTTTTAGTAGTTTCTTATGTGATTAGTACTTCCATAAATTCCTGCCTTTATTCAACATATGTGTGCATGTCCCTTTTATAGGCAAATAAAATTGTATGTAGCTACACCTTGTTGCCAAAAAACAGCCAATGTTTTATCCTTTACAGGCTTATGACAACTTAAGCCTGAGCGATCACTTACTAAGAGCAGTACTAAATCTTTTGAGAAGGGAAGTTTCTGAGCATGGGCGTCATTTACAGCAGTATTTCAACCTGTTTGTAATGTATGCCAATTTAGGTAAGAATTTGTTTTCCTATTTTTGTTTTAATATATTGAGTGATGAAGTTACTTACATTTAGTAATGAGCTATGACCTGGTCTAAAATAGAAACAGTATTCCATAAAATCTATTGTGAATTTTATCTGAAATTTTTTTGTAAACTGTGTTTTACACCTTGTACTTTATGGTAATTGTGCATGTGTCTTACCTCTTGTAGGCACAGGTCAGAATCTTACCTTAATTATGTCTTTATTTCCTAAAACACTGGTTCCTCCATATCTGTATTTTTTTAAATACTTATTGCTATACCCATCCCATACTCATTGAATTCAAATCCTCGAATCTAGCACAAGGAATTTCCAAAATCTTACTAGATGATTGTGCTGCTAATGAAGTTTGGGTAAAGAAAGGACTTGGTCTGTATTTAAGCTTTTGTCCAAGCTAACTAAAATTGGAACTGGGGATAATAAAAATATTCAAGGATTTAAATTACCCTGTTATTACTATAAGACCTATATAATCTCACTCTCCTTCTCAAAGTATCCTGCTCTTTCTAAGATCACCTGTTCTGTTCATTTAATAATGTTGACAGTTTTGTGGTGTTTTCCCCGACTAGATGGCAAAGATCTGATCTTTGTATAATAGTGCTGAATAAATGTTTGTTGATTGAATAGGTGGATTGTTATGAAGATCATCAGAAATCTTCCGTTGTCATTTTGGTGTTTGTTAATTGGCTTTAGGGTTAGACTGCATGTTAATCAGGTGTTAGAGCACTAATCAATGATTGTGTAGTTTTGTTGTTGTTTTTGGTTTTGTTTGGGGGCGGGAGGCCCACACCTAGCAGTGCTCAGGCTTTCTCCTAGCTCTGCACTCAGGGATCACATATGACAGGCTCTGGGGACCATATGGAATGCTAGGAATCAAACCTGGGTCAGCTCTTTGCAGGGTAACCTTGCAAGCCCCATCTGCTGTACTATCTCTCCAGTCCCTAACATAAGTTTCTGAGAGTCCGTTTAGAACCTTAGTAATGGTTATATTTATTTGACCTTATTAGGAACTCAGATTTTGTTTTAAACATCTAAAAAGTTATTTTAGTTTTGTTTTAATTTTGTTTTAAGGTTTTGTACCCAAATACACACTATCACTCTTTATGTGTGTAAGTGTACTAATTGATCCATGGGCCTTTAACATACTGATTAATCACTAGTGTGTCCATGAACCTTTATTTAATAAGAAACATTCTACTTTAGATTTCTTTTTCCTTTTTCATGTTGGAAGTTGAGAAGGAAATTATTACTATACTAACAAGGATAAGTTGAAATGTATTTCAAACTTAGAACTGCCAACTTTAAGCATTCATATACAGCTCTTTTTGTAAATAGTCCCTGGTCACAAAGCATAAGTCATTGGTTCATAATGTAATGTCAATTAAAGTTACCCTCTTAAAAACAAATGTATAAACTTTAATGGGAATTGTTCTCATTTTGTTTGGCCAGAAACCAGTGCTCTGGGCTCTGTCCTGGCTCAGTACTTGGGAAACCATGTGGTGCCCAGGATTTAATCCTGTGCTTCCCTCTCGCCTGCATTTAAAGCCTGTGCCCCAGTTCTTTGAACCATGTTCCTGGCCCCTAATATGATATCCTTAAGCCTCGATTTGCTTTGGGGTTTCAGATATGTTTGGGTTTAAGAAAAGTAATACAGGGTGGGACCAGAGTTGATAGCATAGAGGTTAAGTTACTTAACTTTGCATAAGACCAAACCAGATTAGTTCTCGAGCATCAAATGGGATCCCCAGGACGCTGTCAGGGGCAGCCCCTGAGCACCACTGGAAGAAGATACTCAGACCTTCTGTTTTTGAGCAACAGAATATATACTGATGTCAGGTACTGATGTCATATACATCATATACAAAATATATACTGATGTCAGGGAGAGACAAAGTAATCAAGAACTTGAATGAGCAAAAAGTTTGAGTTCATTTGGGCTGAGTTTGATCCTATATGATGTCCAGTAGAATAGAAAAGTATGTGCTTGGAAATATTTTGGAATTATCCGAACTAAAATTAGATTTGATGGTATTAGTATTGGTTTGATAATCCAGGGAAAGATTACAGAAAAATATTTGATAAGTACTTGTATAAAATCGTTTCTACCCTAATTGTTTGTCATTCTCCACTTATTCCCTCCTCTTCCTTCTTTATCTGTAGGGGTTGCAGAGAAGACACAGCTTCTAAAATTGAGTGTTCCTGCTACCTTTATGCTTGTGTCTTTAGATGAAGGTCCAGGTCCTCCAATCAAATATCAGTATGCTGAATTAGGCAAATTATACTCGGTAGTATCACAGCTGATCCGTTGTTGTAATGTCTCATCAAGAATGCAGTCTTCAATCAATGGTAATTAGAGTGTTTAATTCCTTACATTGGTTTTAGAATACTACTGGGCATTTATAGTACTTGAATGGTACAGGTTTTCAAATTTGAATGTAAAATGTCTAAAGGAATGTCATGAATTTCAAAATTCATGCTTAGGAATTTTGTTGTGCTTTGAGTTATACTCTTTTTTTGACTAGAGATTTACAAAGTAGGCTTTATGGCTGGGCTGCATCTCTGGCCTTCATGTTCTACTTTATTTTTGTACTACACGGGGTGGTATTAAGGGCTATTCCAGGATCAAGGGTCACCCTGGCTGTACTTCTGGGACAGCGCCAGAATCGAACCTGAACATCTGTGCAAAGCATGTGTTCAACCTATTGTGCTACTTTCTTTAGCCACTTCTACTTTTTTGTTTTTAGGCCACACCCATCTCTGTGCTCAGGCATCACTCCATATATGGTATCAGGAATAGAGCCTGCGTCTGTCGTTTACTCGGCAAGCACTGTACATGCTGTACCATCTTCCTGACCCTTAAGGTTTAACTTCTGGTTTTGATCCACACCTAGCTGTGCTCAAGGAATCCTGTGCAGTGCTGGGATCAAACCTAGGTTGTCCGTGTGCAAGACAAGCACCCTACCCACTACACTATCTCTTCAGCCCTGAGATTAAGTAGATGAATGCCATTGTTGCCAGCTTTTTCCTTTTGGGTTTTGGGCCACTCTGGCAGTGCTCAGGGGTCACTTCTGGTGGTCTTCTGGGGACTAAGTGCAAGGCAAGTGCCTTACCTACTGTATTATCTCTCTGGCCTCTGGCAACTTTTTTGTTGTAAATGTTTCTCTAAAATTCAAGATGTCAGGTATTTCCTATGTATTCCTATGTTGTATGGATTGCTGTAGAGAAGCATATTCATTTTTTATTACACATCTGTTTTCTAGGCAATCCTCCTCTTCCCAATCCTTTTGGTGATGCAAACTTATCACAACCTATAATGCCAATTCAGCAGAATGTGGCTGACATTTTATTTGTAAGAACAAGTTATGTGAAGAAAATTATTGAAGACTGCAGTAACTCAGAGGAAACCATCAAGTTGCTTCGTTTTTGCTGCTGGGAAAATCCTCAGTTTTCATCTACTGTCCTCAGTGAACTACTCTGGCAGGTCAAAGGAAAACACCTCATACATTTGCCTAATTTGATCCCTCATTCCTCTGGAATGCTTGTTCACCATGTCTTTACCTGTTTGCAGGTTGCGTATTCCTACACTTATGAACTCCGGCCCTATTTGGACCTGCTTCTGCAAATCTTACTGATCGAGGACTCTTGGCAGACTCACAGGTAGACAGCTTTTTTTTTTTTTTTTGTCTTGTGCAGGTTTTAGACAAAGCTGAAATTCCCCATCATTACTGTTAGGTTGCAGTGCCAGAGGTTAAACACAGGGCGAACCATATCCCTGACCCTCCGTCTTATTTTTAATTTCTAGAAGTGTTTTACTCTAACTATGAACCAGGTTTAGTTTAGGATTAAGTTACAGTGGTTTTAGATTTTATCACATAACATTAAACAGTCTTCGGTAAGTCTGTTCCTCTTAATCATGTTAGATTCTATTAAGTCACTGAATGATGGAAATAGTGAACCACTGATCTTGCGAAAATACATGGTTGTAAGTCTGGTTATATTTTTACCAACCTATCGATATATAACTTACTTTAAAGTAGGTCTGTGACCTTTTTGTATTTTTCTGCTTAAAGCATCTCATTTAATATTATGTGTTCACTAACGATGAATTCTTGATTTGTGTGAAGAAAGAGCACATTATCTCTAAGGCAAGCCTTGATTTCTCTCTCCCTTTCTCTCCCCCTTCCTCCCTCGCTCTCCTCTTCTCCCCTCTTTCTTCTCCCTCTCTCCCCTCCTTCCCTTCCTCTCCTCCCTCTCCCCCTCCCCCTCTTCTATCCTGTCTCTCCCCATTCTCTCCTCTCCCTCCCTCCCCCCTCATTTCCTCTCTCCCCTTACTTTTCTCTCTTCTATTCTCCTCTGTCTTCCTCTCTCCCCCTCCCTCACTCTTCTCTCCATTCTTTTCCACTCTCTCCATCCCCTCACCTCACTCTTCTCTCTGTTCTCCTCTTTCCTCTCTTTATCTCCCCTCTCCTCTTCTAATCTCTCTTCTCTCTCTCCCCCCTTCTCCTTCCCCCTCCCTCCCTCTCTCCTATTCTTTATCCTCTTTTCCTCTCTCCCTCCTCCTCTCTCTCATATATATATATATATATACATATATATATATGCCACACCTGGTGATGTGGGGGGCTTACTCCTAGCTATCCGCTTAAGGAGCACACTTACAATGGGGTTTCAGGGCATCAAACCCAGGTCATCCATGTGCACAGCGGGTGCTCTACCCTCTACTATCTCTCTAACCTCCACTGCAACTTTCTTGAGCTTAGAAATGATTAGCACTTCAGCAGTAAATGTAAATGTTTGGAGGGCCATTTTAAACAGTGAAAGAAAAACACACAAATCCAGAAAAGGTGGCACGAAACAAATAGCATAAAGGATGTCAAAGGAATCCAGTTATCACTTAGCTCCTTTTCAGCTTATAACTTGCCAATTGGATAACCTAAAATCTTTGCACTCTACACATTACCATTAAAGCATCTTAAATGTTGATTTTTGCTGTTACTAATATAGCGAGTAGAAAAATTTACACATATGGAATCCATGAACATTCACTGATTTTTTTTTTTTAACAAAATGGAAAATATTTTAAAGGAATTTAAACAGAATTTAAAATGCTTTATTTTGGGGTTTTTTTTTTAATTGGAGATTAGGTTACACAGCTTTACTGTTCTTATTCCTTCCAGAATTTCTCGCCCTCCCTTCCTCCACCCCCACATTAAAAGCAGTCTGGGGGTGGGAGATAGTACAGCTATTAGGGTGCATGTGTCTGACCCAGGAGTTGATTTCCAGTACATTTGCAGAGCCGTAGAGGCCTCCTGCATCCCAGGGTGATCTGGGTATCCTGGGCAACCCAAAAGGGTGGGGAGAGTTCTTAATCCCTCTTAACAGTGGTATCATACAATTTATGTCCGTAGTACTGCTTTATTTCATTTCACTTAACATAATGTCCTCAAGGCTAGTCCATATTTGTTATGTCAGAATTCCATTTCTTTCTTGGATTGGGGGGCTGCTTATTTATAAGGAGAGACTGGTGCGCTCAGAATCTATTCCTGGGTCAGTGCTTAGGAAACTGCTTCTAGAAGCCCTGGGGGGTTTGGGGGCTGATTACTGTGTGGTCACAGGGATTGACCCTTAGGACCTCACATGCAAGACTAACACTCTTCTGTTGAGCTACATCCCTTGCTTGAGGGATTAGGTTATCTCTCATTCTCTTTCAGAATCCACAATGCACTTAAAGGGATCCCAGATGACCGAGATGGACTATTTGACACAATCCAGCGCTCTAAGAATCACTATCAAAAAAGAGCGTACCAGTGTATAAAATGTATGGTTGCTCTCTTCAGCAATTGTCCTGTTGCTTACCAAATTCTGCAGGTGAGACCTTTTTAGTTTTTTAGAAGAATCTGAATCTGATTTAAGGATTGTGCTTTCAAACAAAGAGAATCAACAGAACGGAATTTGGAGTTGTCGTTTCAAGTTAGTTTTTAAAACATATCCTGAGTCTTTTCACTTAGTTTTATTTTCTTTCGAAGGGTAATGGAGATCTTAAAAGAAAGTGGACCTGGGCAGTGGAATGGCTTGGAGATGAACTTGAAAGACGACCATACACTGGCAATCCTCAGTACACTTATAATAATTGGTCTCCTCCAGTACAAAGCAATGAGACATCAAATGGTTATTTTTTAGAGAGATCACATAGTGCAAGGATGACACTTGCAAAAGCTTGCGAGCTCTGTCCTGAGGAGGTAAAAAAAAAAGGAATGGAAGAGAACAAAGTAATTCTTTACTAGTAATCATAATGTCCCCCCCCCCTCCCCAAATCCCCAAAAGTTCCGTTGCGGTTTTGTTGTAATGTTCACTGTATATATGCATATGTGTTTATATATTTGATTTCAAGTTCACTGTGTGTGAAATTACATATGAGGGATCGTTCTTTTAAAGTAATTTCTGTGGGCCCCGAGAGCTGGCTCAGCAGTTGCATGCTCTTAGAGTTTGGGTTACATCCTGAGCACAGCATGGTCCCCAGAGCAAAGCGGCGCGTAACCCCTGAGCATGCCAGGTGTGACTCAGAAACAAAATAAGTAAAAATACTGATTGATACCTAATTAATTATTTAGAGAATAATTTTTACTGTAGTATTGTTTTTAATTCTATTCGTCTAGTTAAAGACTAAAAAGTTGTTAATTGATGAATTTTGTGGATTTTAAAAAATTTGTTTCAAATCGAAAGTATTAATGATTTTGTCTACATAATTGTTTGCCTTGAAACGTCTACAATTAGGAACCAGATGACCAAGAGGCCCCAGATGAGCACGAATCACCTCCACCTGAAGATGCTCCATTATATCCCCATTCCCCTGGATCTCAGTATCAACAGGTAAATAAAGGTCGCAAACAATTTCTTTAAAGGGGTGGCTAGATTTTTGTTCTAATTAATATAATAAAGGAATTATGTAGACTAGATCTAAAGGATTGGTGGGAGCAGGATCCTATGAGCCATGATAGAACTTGTTCCCATGGTGTTTTTGAGCCACACCTGGTTGTGCTCTGGGCTTATTCCTGGCTCTGAACTCTGGGATCACTCCTGGTGGGGTGGGGCTTAGGGGCCTATATGTGGTGCTGGGGATCAGTATAGTGACAACTTGGAGTCGTCTAACAGGCAGCTCTCTCTTCCTCTCCCAGAATAACCATGTGCATGGACAGCCATATACTGGCCCAGCAGCACATCACATGAACAACCCTCAGAGAACTGGCCAACGAGCACAAGAAAATTATGAAGGCAGTGAAGAAGTGTCACCACCTCAGACAAAGGATCAGTGAAAATGCACATCATTAACTGGTTTCATCAAGACTGTGCACCCAGGCCTTACTGTCCAACTTTTTCTGTGTCTGGCTAATACTTAAAATTAGAAAAACTATTCCTAATCAACACGGAGTAGTGGAGAGTTATTCACTGTCTTACCTGCAGAAATTTGCTGTCAATATATAACCCGCCTGCAGTGGAAAGTGTATAGTGTTTTGTAATAAATGGCCTGATGCTAATGTGTAAATGGCAAAGGTGTATATAGTATATTAATGTTTGACTGTTAATTCTTAAGCAAGAACCTTTTTTCTTGATGAGACACAGATATACAAAAACTACAAAAGTTAATTTTCTTGTTATACTCAGTGCACTCTGCAACCAGTGTTGCCTGCCTGATGGCAGTTGATCAACTCCTTTACAAAAACACAACATAAACCAACAGTAACAAATCAGAGCCCATCCATGTCACCACACCTATAGTTTCATGTTAATTCTTTGCCACTGGAGTCAGTTTTACTATGAGCAATGTAAGGCTGGTAACCTTTAAATTATTTGATGTGGAAAATTGGTGATGTAACATTGTTTCTAGATCTTTTTCATTGACTTTTTATTCTGATATTAGGTTAATCACTTTGAAGCTGTAGTTATGCTGTAACATTTAGCATGGCTTCACACCAAGTTAGTGTAGCCAATGAGGAAAAATTTCCATAATGACTTATGGTTGTCCCAATGTGACAGCTGTGTTGCTCGAGCTTTTCCTTCTTACACCTAGAATTAAAATTGAAAGCAAGGGGAGAGATGAGAACAAGCAGTTACACATCCATTGCTCTTATCTAATGTCTGACAGTTGAATCTCTGGGTGGGACAGTTTCAGCAATGGGAATTTTAAAAGGAATACACAGAAATTGGAGATGCTAATGCCCGAAGCATATTAGAAAGCTGTATTTGGTGTTCTTGTTTTCTTTGGTAGTTTACTAGGTGAATTTTCTAAAATTTTCCTTCTGCTGGATCCCAGTTCATTGGAGGTGTCAGAATCTCAAGGTCCTTGGGAGCACCACTGCACCAAGATGTCTCTTGAGTTTCTGCTCAGTCACAATTTTACTTGAAAGCAACAATTGTCCTAGGTCCTTTTCATTCCAAAAAATGGTAACAGTCAAGCAGGATCTAATTCAAATACCTACTGGTTAGTTGTAATTGAGATCATCGTTGCAAATTGAACACTTAATTAAAGATAAGGAACTCATCAGTTAATACTGTATTTAAAAGACATTGGTAATTTGAACATGTGTAATTTTTTGGAACCTGTCTAGAAACCAAATACTCCTGCAAACAGTCCATCCTATTCTTGGTTTTTATTTTGCCGAAATCACAAATAGGATTTGATTTAAGAACTTTTTGTCCTGTGGTGTCTTTGTTTTGTTACCTTTTTGTCCTGTTGGGTTTTTTGGTTTTGTTTTTTTAAGGACTACATACTAAACTTCTGTGCATGGCATGCCTAGGCATGACATACTGAATTCAGGAGTTCAGTCACATTGAGCTTTTTGTGCACAGAAAAGATTTGACCTTTGGCCCTTTCTAAAGATGTAGGGAAAAAACAGGATGTTGACACTGTAAAAGTTTCCTAACATAATCTTGTACTTTTTGTATGTTTTTATATACATGTATATTTAATGAGCACAAGCTTGGTTGTATTTTTTACAATTTAGTTAATAGGAAAATGTTTTGTCAAAAAGGCTATAGTTGGAATGAAAAGCAGAAGCAAATTGAGAATTGCATTATTTTGTGATTAAAAGGGGCAGGTATTTAAGGTAAAGCTTTGGGTATCTTATTTGCAGTCTGTGCTTCTAGGTTTTCTGCAATATAGGAAAATTTGGCACCAGATAGATCCTGTTATTAAGAATATTAATCTGAATTTGTTAAGTGTGAGCAAAAGTCCTACAGTGTTTGCAATTCCAACTGATAATTGTAACTTTAAAATTCCACAAGCTGCTTTTCCTCAACAGTGAGGAAAGCAACTTAACTTTATTTGGACTTGTTGCTATTGTGTTAAAATCGCCTCTCCATCTAAGAGGTGATTTTATATTTTCTGCTCCTTAACAAAAGTATAGAATGTACTTAATTTTTAAAATTGTGGTTTTCCTAGACATGAAAAACTTGACATTTTAAAAGGCTGTGAATTTTTCTTCTTGGAGGGAGATCCCACCTTGGTTGCTTTGAATCAACAAGTCCTCTTGTGCCCAGAGGACTTGCTAATCATTTTCCCCTCCATTTGAGGAAGAGCGGTCTGTGTTGTGGCCTAGAACTGGGGAAAGTGAAGAGAGTTGTTTTTGTTTGTTTGTGCAAATTATTTTCTATATTTAACTCTTAAGCAAGCATTAATGTATAATCGGAAATTTTAAAATGCATGTTATTGTAAGAGCAACATAGTGGTGATTTTGAGGTCTTTTTCTGAACATAAATGGCACATTTTAAACTTCAAGTCTTCAAAGTGCCTAAATATTATTTAATTCTCCCTCAACTGATTTCTTGAGCCATATATATTTCCTATTTTAAATGTTGGTTGCAGAATCATTAGTTTTCCTTTCAAAGAAGTACCCCCCAGAATTCTGAGTGGCATGATTCCTCTATAGAAGACAGTAGAATCTGTTAACAAAGACTGAAGATATTTTCATTGTTAATCTGTATGAAACAAGGGCTTTTGCCCTGTTGGATCTAAGTATTTCAGTGCACAACTTGGTTTTAAAAACAAAAAAAAAAAAAACCATATTGCTGCTGTTTCTAAGCCCTCCACCAACCAAAATTTCATGTTCAGCATTGTAGAGGCAGATATAAGAACCTAATCATTTGGAGTTTTTGTCATTGATTTTTCCCTTGATAATTTCCCAACCTTGTGTCTTCTAGCTGTTATGTATACAAATTTAGAACTATTATTAAAATGTTTTCTATTTTTTTCATGGTTAACGTTTATTAGTGAAAGAATAACAAGTAGTCTTAGTCTTAGTAGTTAAAAAGACGAGCAGCCTTTTTTATTTGAATTACATTTGTAAATGAAAGCAACAGTATGTGAATATTCAGATGACTACTCCAAATAGCTCTTTAGTTTTCTAATAGTATTTTTCCAGCTTACGTTCTCCCATAAGAGCTCTTTGCTGAATTTTGTGATTAATTTGGTGGATATATCCTGCCTTATTTAGAATTATAACTGGATAAGAAAATTGCCTTTTCATTATAAGTGCCCAATGTTGGTCTCCTGTTTGAAGGTACTGCCGAGAAACTAAAACAACACTCTCTCCCCCACCTGCACCCCCAGTTTTTGTTAACTATTCAGTACTGGTGTCATAGTAGGGTTCAACCAAAATTGGTCCTGCACCTACATGAGTGTTTAGTGTTTGAAAGTAAGGTTTGGGATGTGATAAATCACCAATAAGTGCTAAATGTATTAAGAACTTGCTGCCGATTGTATTTATAACTATTTTACGTTTGCACTTTTCCTTGAAATTTATAAGAAGGGGAAAGGTGTACCATGTTTTAAAAATTGCAAAATGGAAGGTTTTTTTTTTAAATCCAGATTCCTAAACGGAAATTTCACCACCCAGTTCATACACTTCTCAGCCTTTACAAGCCAACAGACTGAAGATTGTCCACAGTTCCTAAGATTTAGCACATATACAGAAATAAAACTTAATAAATTAAATTTCGGTTTTCCCTTTTGTTTATTAAAATAAGATTTTTAAATAAGGGTAACACAGGTGGGATCAAAGTGAAAGGAAATTTAAATCTGAAATTATATTCAGACCAAAGCTCAAAAGTTGAAATGGGCCAGGCATCATACAGGTTTTGAGCATACGTGTGCCCATTCATATTAGTGCAGTCTGCGGCAGCACAGGGACCCTAGGGCACCAGCAAGGTTGCCCTGGCATTCTGAGTCACTGCAGTCCCCGACCAGCACCTTGGGTCCTTTGAACTGCCAGCCAGGTTGTTCAGGAATTACCAAGTGTCCCCCAATTCCCCTGAGCGCTGCTCTAGAGGTCCCCCTCTGAAGTTGTGATGGGGCCAGGGCAGGTAAGAGTGCTTGCCTTGTCTATAGTCCCAAATTTAATCCCCAAACCCATTTGATCCTTGAGTGCAGTGCCAGGAATAATCCCTGTGAACACCACTGGGTGTGACCCTCCACAAAAAATTAAGTTGGGCTGGAGCGATGGTACAGTGGGTAGGGTGTTTACCTTGCACTTGACCAACCCAGGTTCAATTCTCAGCATCCATATGGTCCCCCGAGCATCGCCAGGAGTGATTCCTGAGTGCAAAGACAAGAGTAACTGCGTTGCGGGGTGTGACCCAAAAAGGAAAAAATTGTGACCTAATTGCTTGCTTACAGGTTCTAAAGCCAGTATTTATTAAACACATTTTAGTGTTTCACCAAAGAGTCCATTTAACATCGAAAATTGGGCTGGAAGGACCAGAGAAAGTACCAGGATTAAGATAGTTTCCTTGACTCTAGTTCAGCCCTTAGTACTGCATATAGACCCATAAGCACAGCTAAGTGTGTAAATCTCCCTGCCCACCCCTAAATGGGACTAAGCTCAAAGGATTGGAGCTAATGGTTTGCTCACAGGAACCCCGGTTTGGTCCTAAGCAACACCCACCCTAAGCACATTTGCGCACTAAACCAACAATACAGGATGTCATTTGAAGAGTTTTTGAAAAATGGGAATTTACCAAGAAACAGAAATAGCAAGCTAGGTGTTGTGTTTTATAGTGCTGAAGAGACGCTATATTCAAAAAGGCCTGTAAGAAATGTGTTTGCTTCAAATTGCGTTACAGGTTACTTCAGCTACTACCAAGAAAACCCCAGCTCATTTTCATTTTTTTTTTTTCTGGTTTTGTTTATTTGGCCAGAGCCAGTGGTGTTCAAGGCTTATTCCTGGCAGGCTCAGGGGACTATGTGGAGTGGCAGGGATCGAACTGGGTTGGCCATGTGCATGCAAGTGCCTTAACTGCACTACTATCGCTCCAGCCCAGACCATCTGTCTGTGTTCTCAGTATACATACCAGTTAGAGCAGTTCTTGGCCAGGCAGTTTGATTGCCCACTGGGGAGTGGGTTTTTTTTTTTTAATCAGAGGTAGGATAACTTTTAAACCTGGTAATACGCAGAGGCCAGAACATAGTTCAGTGGGCTTGCCTTGCATGTGGCGGACCTGGTTCTGATCCCTGGCACCCCAGATGGTCCTCCAAGCATCACCAGGAGTAATTTGAGTGCTGGGAGTAAGCCCTTAGTGACTACCAAAAACAAACATAATCGGCTTTTTCTGACCCTCACTGGAAGTGAAGCACACTGAACACTTAGTCTGACACATTTTGTTTTTGTGTTGGGGGTCTCCAGGGCTGCATTGCATCCGAGCAGACAGTGCTCCTGGACTTCTATAATACTGAATTAGTAACACTTCATCCACATACTGTTGGGCCAAGTAAATTTCATGCTTTGCACCCAGCTGTGCTCACTCTTAACTCTGAAGCTCCTTACTAGCCCCTGGAGTTTGCCAGAGACCCTCTGGTAAGGCTCCCTGGTAAGACAGGAAAGTATGCTCTGACTCTGAGCAGTGTGAAAGAAGTTTATCTCTGTTTTCGATCACATGATTAATCATATCTTATTCCCCTGCCATCTTGTCGAATATGAGCAATGCTTTGTTTTACTACAGATCAAAGTTAGTCCTGTATGCTTTATTTTTTGTTGATGTTTGCTTGTTTGGGAATTGTTAGCTTGTTTGTTTGTGGGTCATACTGGCTGTGCTCAGGATTTACTCCTGGCTCTGTGCTCAGGGATCACTCCTTGGTGGGTCTGAAGGACCATAGGGGGATGCCAGAGATCTAAACGGGTCGACTGCATGCAAGGTAAGCCCAGTACCCGCTGTACTATACCACTCCAGCCCCAAGGCTTGAATAAATCTTGCATGCTTTAATCAGTGCTTTGTGTGACTCGCTGGAATGTAGTTTTAGCGGCTAAATGAGATGGTAGTCTTTGAATCACATGTCAAGGGTTCCAGGCCCAACCCACTGTGCAGTGTATGGGCCAGATAGTTTAACCATCTCTCCTATGTGGTCTCCATGGCTCTGAGTTTGGGCGAACTCAGGTGCAACACTGAGAAAGCCATCCAGAGCCAGGGATGAAATTCAGGGCCTTGTGCATGCCAGGTGTGTGCCCCAGCTCATTGGGCCATCTCCCAGGCTCTGTCCTAACATGTCTGGTAGCTCAAACGAGAGGTTGCATACACCCATTGCTTGGAATGAGAAGATAAGGTGTGCTATCTATGTAGGCTCTTCAAAAGATGCAGACCAGGGCTGAAGCGATAGCACAGCAGGTAGGGCGTTTGCCTTGCAAATAGTTGACCTGGGTTGGATTTCCAGCATCCCATATGGTCCCCTGAGCACCACCAGGAGTAATTCCTGAGTGCATGAGCCAGGAGTAACCCCTGTGCATTGCTGGGTGTGACCCAGAAAGCAAAAAAAACGCAAACTGTGGGCAACCTGGGTTGCTCTTGAAATGTCATAGGTCAGTTGACTCCTGACTGTCTTTTTGTTTGGGGGCCACACCTAGCGGTGCGCTGGTCTTCTGGTTCTGAGCTCAGGAATCATTCCTGGTGGTACTCAAGGGGTTATAGGCGGGGCCAGGGGTAGAATCCGAGTCAGCCCCCTGCACGGGAAGCACCTTCCAGTCTGTACCATCTCTCCAGCCTGATGCCTGACTGGCCAAGTGATTTAGATGAAATGCAGGCCAGGGAGATAGTAGCCTCGAGGAGGAATGTACCTGCCTTCCTCTTGAGCCCATCTCAGTCACCTCAGGGAAGTGACTGGGAAAGTCACTCTCTTGCATGGTGCCAAGGGTGCTCACATCCTGCTAGCCACAGGCAGCAGCTGTCCAACCGTGCCCGGGGTCCACTTGATCTTCATGGTGTAGAAGCTTGTGCCCACTAGCCAGTTTCTCAGGGAGCTTAGACTAGAGTGAGGAATTGCATGTCTGGGGCAGGAAAGCCCATCCTTGCCTCAGCCCAAGTGTCCAGGTTCCCTTGCAGGAAAGAATTTCAGGAAGACAAATAGCGCGAGAAAATCCATTGGGAAAATATTGTTGGAGCATCATTCAGGTTCTTGTCTTCCTGGACCCAAGATTATTGTCCGGTGGACAATTAGGAGTCAGGCAGAGAGTCACAAAAACAAGAGGGTGGAGCAATAGCAGGTAGGGAGCTACTGTGGGTAGGGAGATGGCCTTGCACATGGCCGACCCAGGTGCAATCCCCAGCAACCCAAAGGGTCCCAAGCCTGACAGGAGTAATCCCTGAGTGCAGAGTCAGGAATAAGCCCTGAGCACTGTCAAGTGTAGCCCAAGAACAAAGAGAGAGAGAGAGAGAGAGAGAGAGAGAGAGAGAGAGAGAGAGAGAGAGAGAGAGAGAGAGAGAGAGAAGGAACCAGAGTATAAGGCAGAAAAACTAGTTTCCTAGAAAAAGGCAGGATACACTGTTAAGGGCAGTAGCAGGCTACAGCCAGAAAAGCCAAAAGCCCCGAAGTTTCTAAACTACTTGGGCGTTTCTCCATCTGAAAACACAGAGACTGAAACGAAGTCATTGCATTGACTCAGTGACAGGTGGCCCACCTCTCAGGTGGAACCTTTTTTTACCCGTGGGTAAAACTCCATTGATGTTGAGGGCAGAGGGATCGTACAGTGAGGAGGGCACTTTGCCTTGCATGCACCAGGCTCAGATTTGGCCCCCAGCACTTCGTAGGGTTCCCTGAGTGCTCTAGGAGTGATCCCTGAGTGATGCCGGGCCAGGAGTAAACCCTGAGCAACAGGGGCCAACCAAACAAGACAAAACAAAAACAAAGCCAAGGACTGAGTTCCAGCACTGCACCTGGAGGGCTTGGATTCTGCTCACGATCATTCCTTTCCTTTGAAGTCTGCACTTCCA